TAATAATAATAATAGTATGTAATATGGTCTCTGGTGACCAAATTTCTTGATTTCTTCTTCTTCTGCAATCTCCGTCGTCAGTATACCTAATATATTCTTCCTGCTCTCTAATAAAACAAATACATAAGTTATAACTGATGAAATCATTGGATGCAATTCACCACATTAACAATGCACAAAAAAATACATATATGTAAAATTTTGTTAAATATTGTCTTGATTTCTTAATGCTCACGCAATATATATATATACCTCCGTAATTACGTAAAATGATTCCCGTGATCTCTAATGAGACGAAATATATAACTTTGTTAAATGGAAGTCAAGACTGGAACGAAGAAAGCTGATCTCCGTTTTACGTAAGTAGGAGTTGAATAATCTCACCTGATTGAGTTTGTTGTATATATCGAGTGGTCCGAGTCCGACTTTGGTTTTGATCATGTATTATATTTTGTCATTACTTATGGTTTCCCAACTAAATTTTTTTTTTTTGTCGTCTTGTAACCTAAGTACATAACTAACGCTAACCAGTAACGAATATTGTATTCTACGACGTACGGCCGTTGTAAATAACTTGCAACGAGGCGGTCCAACTGATCCATCATGTGTGTGGACCTGCGGTCTAATTTATCAATGTCACCTTCTACAATTAATGGTAGCTTACTGATAATTTCAATACATTGTCTAAAGATTAAATAGTTGATCTTAACTACGACATGTCGGTAGGTTTGTATAACCTGTCATCTACGTCTCAAGCGCAGTTCACAATTATCTCACCGCTGCCAGTCACAGACGCCTACTGGCCGCCCTATCTAAACAGCTACTTCACTATCACACCAAACTTTTTGTCTATAAAACTGTGATTTAGTAGCTCTAACAATTGCAAAACCATATTCAGACATTAGTAAATAGTAGTCCATTCCATTATTAAACCCAATACAGACTGACTGCCTACTCAGGCTCGCCCTGGTCCAGATAATAATCTCATCTAAGCCCATTCTTAAAACCCAATATAGCTTTATTATTTGGCCCTTTTTATTATAAATGAGCAGTTTAGAAAACCGGCGTCGTTTTGAAGTGCGTGATCGTCAACGCCTGGTGCTACGATCAACCATCGTCGAGTCTGCTTCTTCTTCTTCTTCTCCTCCTCCTCTCTCCTCTAGTGGTCACCTCACTCCACACCCATTAAAAAACCCTAGGAGCCAAATATGATGATCCTCTCGAGATCCGTCGCGTTGATCTCTTTGTTCCTTCTTCCTTTACTTACTTTCTCCTTCTCCGTCGATAACCCGACGGATCGGCGAGTTCTGGTTCTTCTCGATGATCTATCACTTAAGTCCTCTCATTCTATCTTCTTCAACACTCTCAAGTCTCGTGGATTTGATCTCGATTTCAAGCTAGCTGAAGATCCGAAGCTTGCGCTTCAACGATACGGCCAGTACTTGTACGATGGGCTGATCATCTTCGCCCCATCGACAGAGCGTAAAATCTTCGATCTCTGAGCTGCTTGATCGATAATTTTGTCTTTATTCTGGAAACGATTTGGTCATTTCTCTTTTTATTGTTTATAGGGCTTGGAGGGTCTTTGGATTCGAAATCCATTGCTGATTTCGTCGATTCCGGTCGTGACTTGATCTTATCGGCGGATACTTCTGCATCTGATCTGATCCGGGGCATTGCCACAGAGTGTGGGGTTGATTTCGACGAGGTTTGTTTATCAGAATGTGCATTTTATCTTCTTTTTTGGAACAAAATGCGACTCAGGATTTTGGATTTATTTAGCCCTTTTGTCTCCTTAGGATTCTTCAGCTATGGTTATTGATCATACTAGCTTCTCCGCCTCTGATGTTGACGGTGACCACACCTTGATTGCTGCAGACGATTTAGTGAAATCTGATGTCATTTTGGGAAAAGCTAAAATCGAGGTATCTTCTTTGCTTTCTAGCTGATTCATGTGACTAATGCTGCACACAAATTCCTTTCATGGTTTTGGATTTAAGATAATGCATGAAAAGTTTGGGTTTTGGGAGGGTTTCTGATCTGTGACACCTAAGTTCGTTTTGTTGTTTGGTTTATGAATTACAGGCTCCCGTGCTCTTCAGAGGAGTTGCACATTCATTGAACCCTACCAACAATTTGGTAAGTTGAAGAACACACCTTCTTCTTGCATTGAGTAGATGTATGATATTAATGTTCCCTATGAATAACTATGCCTTGATGTGGGAATTAACATGTGCTAATGCCTCATACTCCATTCCTAGGTTTTGAAAGTTCTTTCAGCTTCTCCCTCAGCTTATTCTGCTAACCCAAGCTCGAAGTTGTCTAGTCCTCCCCAGCTCACTGGGTCTGCAATTTCGCTAGTCTCAGTCATGCAGGTTTCTCTCTCTTCTATAACCAGATATATATACCCCTGAATAATTCGATGTTCCTGTGAAGTCTGAACTATCATGTTTTCTGGCTGCACTTAGAGCTCCACCTCTGAAAATTATTTTCAGTCACTGCCTTAGGTTCACATATGTTGATGTATATTTGAAAACTGCAGGCCAGGAACAATGCTAGGGTTGTGATCTCAGGCTCTTTGCAATTGTTTAGCGATAGGTGAGCAATTGTTTGATGGTATTTCTCCAGCTAATTCATGCATATGGATGTTCTGACTCAGAGTTTGGTTTGCACGAGACAGGTTAATCAGATCTGGTGTCCAAAAAGCAGGGAGTCCGAACCAGTAAGTAGACACATAGTTCATCTAGTGAAACGTTTAATTCGAATGATATGTTGCTTCACAGATTCAAGGATTCTTTTGTCAATGGTACTATGATAAGTGTCACATTACGTTTTAAAAGAAGATTAAATGATCTTATTTAATACTTTCCCAGATACGAAAAATCTGGCAACGAACAGTTTGTGACTGAACTAAGCAAATGGGTCTTCCACGAAAGGGGCCATCTGAAGGTATATGCATAGTCATTTTCACTTGTTTTGCTATCTCCTTTAAATCTTCTCCAGATGTTAATTGCTTACGCCTATGCATAATCAGATTATAGCTTCTCTGTTCAATTAATCACCTCTGTTACCTTCATTGGCACGATCTTCACTTATCTTTTGTGTCCCAGGCTGGTAGTCTTGTACACCATAGGGTTGGAGAAACAGATGAGCCAGCGATATATAGGATAAAGGATGACCTGGTATGGTTTCTACATCTTCTGACTCACCCAAAGTTGTGTGCTTTAGGTGTTAATCACCTGGTATATAGTGGAATCTGTGGCAATCATTTGATGTGGCTGTTCATTGCAGGAATTTTCTGTGGAGATATATGAGTGGTCGGGAAAGAGCTGGGAGCCGTATGTTGCTAATGATGTGCAGGTTCAATTTTACATGATGAGCCCGTATGTATTGAAAACCCTGTCAACAGACAAGAAGGTAACTTATATTTGAGCTCCAAAGCAGTGTCCTTTCTATTTTTGGATTTAAGTTGCTTTCAGGTTTAGAAGTAACTCAGCTTGCTTTGTTACCTATTTTGCAGGGTTTGTTTCATACATCTTTCAAGGTTCCTGATGTCTACGGTGTATTTCAGTTTAAGGTTGAATATGAAAAGCTAGGCTACACTACATTATCTCTTTCAAAGCAGGTGAGTAACACTAACTATCTCCTAGAGTTTTGCTCACTTTCGAGACAAATACATATGATGCAAACATCTGGGTTATTGCAGATTCCGGTGCGGCCTTACAGACACAATGAGTATGAGAGATTTATCCCCACTGCGTATCCTTATTACGGAGCCTGCTTTACTACGGTAAACCCTAAATCTTTCTCTTCTCTCTTTCACACAGACACACACACACAGAGGTAGAACCGAGAAAGCTAATCGTTGACACTTAATCGTTTGCTCTCCTACGCAGATGGCTGGTTTCTTTGTCTTCAGCTTCGTCTACCTCTACCATAAGTAGAACCCGTTAAATAGTTTGCCAGTCGCATAAAGTAAGCTAAAGCTCCATCCAAATTTAGACGAGGAAAAACTTTGAATCTTGAGACCAATTTTTTTCGCCAACAAGCTTTTCTTATGTTCTAGTGTTAGCCAAAACACTTGCAACCTATTTTGTTTTCCAGATATTTATGGTAACTTAACTTTAAACCCTTTCTCTGATCCTCCTTTCTCCCTTACTCGAGATATAAGCATGACCGAGTCAGGTTACTTGTCACCACTTAAATCCATAAACTAATGGGGAATGTCTATAAAGTTTAGGAAAAAATACACCATGAGTTCATTACCCGTCTGAATCACACAAAAAGAAAATATCGGGTGGGATATGTGAATAAATAAAAAGTAACCATGCTCTTATAAATAATTGAAAGCATAGCTGTATACGTATAATTAATTTAGCTCAAATGATCAGGTAGATTTGAAAAAAGCACAAAATTTAGGCTATAAATAGGGAATGTAAATAACTATAATTAATGGGGTACAGTCGTAAATATCTTGAAGTCCTCTGGTAATCGTGTAAATAATGGAAAGTATTGGTTTTTGTGTAAGGTAATCTTGTAAATATCAGAAAGTATTGGGGTTTGTGTAAAGTGATCGGATTTTTGTATAAATAAGCCCAACTTTCGGACTTGATTTGGTACAATCGTACAGACTCAAATTTTTCGATGATCATCTGATTCATTATCCCAGTTTCGCGCATCTAAACCAAAATCAACAGATGGGTACAGAACGAATCTATAGTCCAATATTACCAGCAGCCAAAGAGCTATCTTTCAAACACTGCTGACCCGGGAATATTAAATTTGTCGTCATAGTCATCAATATGGTAGACTAGTAGATTAAAAATGTAGTGAATACAATCAACGGTAGTTGGTACTTACTTGGGAGAGGGGGGCGAATAATTAGAGTCCTAATAATAACTATAAAAAGTTGAAGACAAAAAAGAAGAATTGATTTTTTTTTTTAAAATGGGAGTAGACTAATGGAAACAGAGTGGAACATGTCAAACTTGCGACCAATACCAAAATGGGGAAATCAAACAAAAAGAGAAGACAAGTCAAAAGGCTAGAAGCAACTGAGTTGTTTCCTCTTCTTTCTCCCACTCAATCCATCCATCCGTCGCTCTCTCCTTCCTTCTCCACTCTCTCTGACTCTCAAAGTAACTAAAAAGATTTGAGCTCAATCAATCAATCTTATCTCTTCCTCGGATCCACTTGGAGTTTCAGGTACTTACCAATCTGATCTCAGTTGTTTATTCTCCAGCCTCCTGCAACAACGAAAGCACTTGTCTTTCAATCTCCCGCTCTGCTTTCCAAAGACCAGATTATTTCTCAGATCAAAGTACGCTTCTCTGTTTCTGCTGCTGCAGGGAGTTTTATTGGGAAGGCGCTTTTCCTCAAAAGTCAAAAAGCAACCTTTGGGCTGATTTCGTCCCTCACTGTCCATGTTTCTTGGAATCTTCTCCAAAACCATGGAAGACAAATCAAATTCGAGCAGGAACAGAACCAACAACACTCCACCTCCTCCACAGATCCGAACCGACATAGGCTCCTTATACTCTGCAGATCTTTCTGCTTACAAGTCAGCTTGTAGAGAAGATCCAGATTTACAATCCTTCGACTCCTCCCTTCATCAACGCACCAACCGAGTCATCAACTCCCTCGCCTCTGGTGCCGAAACTCGGTCTTTGTCCTTTGACGCCCTCATTGAAGTCTCAGGGTGTCTTCTCGAAATGAACCATGAGGTCGTTAGGTTTATCATCGAGAGCAAAGAAGATGCGTGGGACAACAAAGACCTGACATGTTTGGTGAATGCGTATTTCGACAGTAGCATCAAGACCTTAGACTTCTGCAATGCTGTTGATAATTCTGTCAAACGCGCCAGGGTTGGCCAAATGCTTTTACAGTTTGCGATCAAGCAATTCGAGATGGAGTCATCAGGTAACAACACATCCGTGGAACCGGGTACTAACAAGTACGCCAACACTTTGGAAGAGCTCAACAAGTTCAAGGCTTCTGGTGATCCGTTTGATGGAGATTTCTTCATGCTGTTTGAGTCTGTTTACGAGCAGCAGGTCATGCTCTTGGACATCCTTCATAAGCAAAAGAGGAAGCTTGATAGGAAGCTTAAGAACATCAAGCACTGGAAGAAAATCTCCAATGTGGTTTTCGTAACCGCCTTTGTCTCTGTTTTGATCTTCTCTGTGGTTGCAGCCGCTGTTGCTGCACCGCCTGTTGTGACTGCGGTTGCAGCTGCCTTGGCGGTTCCAATTGGGTCAATAGGGAAATGGTGTAATCATCTCTGGAAGAAGTATGAAACGGCTGTGAAAGGACAGAAAGATATTGTTTTGTCAATGAGGATTGGTGCTTATGTTACCATGAAAGACATGGATAACATTCGACTGCATATTGATAAGTTGAAGATTGAGATGGAATCCATGATGCAAAGAGTTGACTTTGCACTCAAGGAGAAAGATGAAGAGGTAGCTGTGAGGCTTTCAATGCACGAGATCAGCAAGAAGTTTGATGTTTTCACAGAGAGAATCGAAGAAGTTGGTGAAAACGCATCTAAGTGTAGCAAAAATATCACACTGGCGAGAACAATCGTTCTAAGACACATTCTTAGCTTCCCCTCAGCTTCAGATTCAGAGCAAGGGAACTTGTAAGTTTTGGTTTTTTACTTTTTTCTTCGTTTTTGTTGAGTTTGTGTAAAGTTTGGGAATCTTTTGGCTCACATGTTACACTTCTTTTGGTCAGGATTGAGGCAATCACGTTGTGAGAGGTAGACTGTATAAATAAAGCCATGGTTTTGAAAAGAGGTTCTGTGGTATGTAAACGTCACATAACGCTTTATATAATGTTATGTGTAGCAGCACCTCTTGTATACACCCCTGTACTGTATCGGTTTAGCACAACATAATGTATACTCAATTGGAAATAAAAAAATTTTAAGTCGATATTGACATTTGCTAATGAATCTCGTCGAGAGTTGTGGAAAATATGCTTCTTCTTTTTTTACAGCAAGAAATTACAACCATCTGACTACACATTTTTGTATTTTATTATGATTATCATATAGAGTAACGTCTCTTCGTTTTATATATAGTTCTTTTCTTATTCGTTTCAAAGTGATCTAAAACAACATTTTTACAGAGGATTGTATGTTAATTAGGAGCGAAAATGAGAATGAAGAGTAAAGAATTTAGAGACTCAATGCTCAACATGATGCATGATAGGAAGATAAACCAACGATAGCAAACTTCTTGATTAAGGTGCGTTGATAGTTTTGATTTGACATATCAACAAACTTAACCACCACAAGAATAGAAAGAAAAGAAATCATTTCTTATGGACGGACAGCTTGTTCCACATAAAAAACATATTAACAAAGACCAAATCATATTACGTGTCCGTTTTAGTGGTTGACTACTGTTCATTTTGGGGTGTTATACAAACCTTAGAACAAGAGGCTATATATTATATATACATTAGTCAATAGAGAGGCAGAAGTAAGCTCTTCTTTGTCTTGGATTAAAATTTTCCAAAGCTGTCTCGCCAAGATTCCTATCAAAAGTTCAGGTACGTATGTTTCTCTTCGGTTCATCTCAATCTGATCTTGATGTTAGAATGAACACAAACCTTTGTCCTAAATCTTTGTTCATTTAAATATTCTCCTTTAAATTATAGCGTTTTCATAGGTCAGATTAGCTTTATCCACCAGTAATATCAATGGTGTTCTGTGGATTATTTTCAGAGCTCATGGCAGGAAACTCCAGTTCTAACAGTAGTGGAACCAATGCTTCACCCGTTGAGACGGTCCAAACAAAGATGCGGTCCAAATACTCACCAGAACTGAGTTCTTACACATCCGCTTGTAAGAAATACTCATTCCTCAAATCCTTTGATTCATTGCTTCACAAGCGAACCTACAACGTTATCAGCTCGCTCGACACTCAGGCCAAGACTCGATCTATAAACCTAGAGTCACTCATGGGGGTCTACGGATATCTTCTTGAACTAAACCAAGATACAGTAAGAGTCATCATTCAAAACAAAGACGCTGTTTTGAAGAACAAAGATCTTAAGTCTTTGGTTGATATCTACTTCAAAAGTACGTCCAAGACCTTAGATTTCTGCAATACCGTCCAGAAATGCGTCAAGAAAGCGGAAATAAGCCAACTTATCATTCGATTTGCGGTGAAACAGTTTGAGACAGAAACGGATCTTGGAGTGGGTAAGAAGAACAAGTACGCGAAAACGTTGGAGGAGCTGAACAAATTTAAGTCTATGGGAGACCCTTTTGATGGTGAGTTCGTGACGCAGTACGAGTCCATCTACGATGAGCAGATATTGCTTTTGGACGAGTTGCGTAAGGTTAAAGAAAAGCTTGATAAGAAACAGAGGAATGTGAAGACATGGAGGATAGTGTCAAATGTGGTTTTCGTGACTGCGTTTGTGGCTGCTTTTGTCTTATCGGTGGCTGCGGCAGCAATGGTAGCACCTCCGGTATTGAGTGCGGTGGCGTCTGGACTGACCACGCCGATTGAGGTTGTGGGAATGTGGTGTAACAACATGTGGAAGAAATACGAGAAAGCTGTGGAGAGACAGAGAGGTGTGGTTTCGTCGCTGGAGCGTGGAGCGCAAGCTAACAATGTAATGATGGTAAATATAAAATTCGAAGTTGATAACCTAAGCATAAGGATCTCGTCGATTCTGAAGACAGTAGACTTTGTAGCGGAGAGAAAAGAAGATGAAACGGCGACGAGAGTAGCGATGCAAGACATCAAGAATCAAGTGGAAGAGTTTACTGAGAAAATAAAGGAAGTGGGAGAAAGAGCGAACAACTGTAGCAAGCTCATCGCGCTGGGGAGACTTGTAGTTATGGGACACATCCTTGGGGTAAGCATCGTAGAAAGAGAAGCTGTAAGTATTATCAGTGGCGTTTGATACTGAGGACTGAGGAGGTTGCTTGGGAATCAAGGGTTTCTCTATCGATGATGATGATCGGCTTTTAACTTACGCTTCTAATGGTTCACTATAGCTTTATTCTGTGATGTTGTCCATTTAAAAGCATAGATTCAAAAATAATGTACACGTGTACGTGTATGTGTTTTCCCTAATGGTTCACTATAGCTTTTTTTTTTGTTTTCCCTCCATTCTCTGGCAATTTGAATTGGGAATAGCAATTTGAATTTGAAGAATCACAAGCAGAGAATGGAAGAGATGACTGAATATTTCTGTGTATTGATAGATTATCGATTACATTGATATATACAAAACAGAGACTTACTCACCAAGTCTAATTTACACAAGATAAGGAAACTAATTACTGTAATCACTAATTCTATGGGATATGATGTGTGATACCAAATAATATCAAATAATATCCCATTAGAATTTTAAAGCGAATATGCCGTCTACTTATAGTCAATTTACAAATATTGGGGATCGTGAAATATAAGTGGAACAGGCAAGAAAAGAAGAAGAAAGTAGTAGATGGGTTTACCGTGTCGAATCAAAGAAGTTGGTGAAAAAGCAGCTAAAATCCTTGCTTTAGTGCTTAAGCTACACCGCTAATTCAGTTTAGTAGAAAGGGAAGTTGTAGTCTTGTTGTATATATTCATCAATCAATGGCGTTTCAAAGACATTGACGTTGATGCGGTGTGTTCGTGCACTCTTTTATCATTGGTTTATGGGCTTGGAAGTTAGGATTTAGGCCCATTACAGCTTTATTATGTACCGTTGCCCCTTTAAAAGCAGTATCTGTGTTTTTTTTTGTAACAGCATGCATCTGTGTTTTGTTTCGATTCCCTTATCGACAGACAATAAACCTTTTCTTTTTTTTCCTGTCAACGCCATAGTCATTGTTAATTGATGCCAAACGTCGGTGGCTTCGTAATATGGAAAGAGAAATGAAAAGTTGAGACGGTCAAGAAAAGGAGAATGCATGCATGGGATGGGATGGGATGGGAGGATGAATAAAAACGGTAAAAGCTGAGAGAGAGATTTCTAATTCAACTGGGGAAGGTTCATTGCTTCGTGAAAAGAGTCATCTATTATTTAAAATCTACTACTATTGATTACAAAACAAACAAAAACTATATAATAAAAATAAAAAGACCCCACAAGAAAAATAAATTGAAGGAGATAGAGCCTCTTCTCCTCTCCTCTAGTCTCGTGAGAGTTAGGTAATACTCCATAGATAGATAGTCTTCGTCCCATACGATACAAAACAAAACAAAACAAAAAGAGAAAAAAGCTTTGCCTAGTGCCTGCCTTAGATATCAACTCCCCAACACACACACTCTCTCTCGCTCCCACTCTCGATCTCACCGATTCTATACTCTCCTTCTGCCTTTACGTGGCGACTCGTTTACGTGTGTCCTCCTCCTCACACATTTATATATTTACGGGCCTTCCTTTTTCTCTATTTCACCTACTAATTTCCACCTTTCCCGTGTATTATTTTACTTTTTCTTTCCTGTTCAAATGAGATTCTTGAAATTAACGTTCTTCTATTTGGCTTCTCAAACTTAATAATAATGCCTACGTACTTACGTCAGTTTTACGTCAAAGTGCCCATTGACGAAATATAACCAGTACTTCATGATGGTGTGTATTCCAACTTGAGATCAGATCATTATAGTGATATTCAACTCAACTTAAGATAACTCATGATAAATCTTCATCTTTTTTTTGGGTTTAGCTAAGGAAAACAATTCCAACTTGAAATCATTATAGTGATATTCCACTTAATAATTTGTGTGTAAGTAAATTGATGACAACTTGATAAAAGTTCTCGAACATTACAGTATATTGATGCATTATGAATCGGTCTCTCTCGTGTCTTCGTAATCCAGCACTGGAGTATTCCTCATTGGCTTAATATTTGAAAAAGAACTCTTATCTTATAAACCCACCGAATTATTTGTTTTTCTTCTTCTTTAATTAACCTAAAAATAATAAAGAGAGAGAGAGATGATGCTTGCACTTATCTAAATCTACGTGTTGTGGAACACCACATTTTAATAAATAAACACTCTTTATATATATATCTAAATGCCGTTTACAATATGATACGATACACTAATTGAAAATGTATTAGACGAATAAGTAAAGTATTAGCAAAGATGGTTTTTAAAAAAAAAAAAAAAAACAAGAAGTGGAAAGCAATGGGAAGAAGAAGAAAGATGATGATTGGCTTTGGCGAGACTTCGCGTGTTAACTAGATCGGACGGCAATGCGTGGCAAGTCGTTTATGACGTCGGAAGCTTAGCTTGCCACGTGTACGGTCATCAGCATTACTGTGACCGATATTATATATGTTAATTCCCGTGACTTGCCGATCTAATATCCCCCCCCCCCCCAATTTATCGTATCGTTAGCTTCAATTTATCAAGAGTAATAAGTTAATTATATACTGCTCGCTCTCTCACCCAAATAAAACTCACATAAAACGTGGATATCAAATAATTTCATGTTTGATGTGCAATATACTCATATAATGCTGTATTATTTTCTTACATGTTTTTTTAAAAATATATAAATGAGAGTGACATGATTGATAATTGTTTCTTCTTCTTCATATATAAATACTAATATCAAATTCACATTTATGAGTACATTATGACACTAAAAAGTAATAACGATCAGTTATACTTATATGCATACGTTTAATGGAAAACTCGTTAATTATATTTTTAACTTTGTTAGCCTGTAATCATAAGTCATAACCGTCGCTTTTAAATAAAATAATAATAATAATAAGATGAGAAAAATAGAGAGAGAGGGAGATAAGCAACGCCTATGTGTAATTATCGTGTCAAAATATCGTGATAAGAAAGGATGCTGTTTCAGAGGAGCCTTCTCGTTTGCTGCGTCGTTGCTCCTCTGCTTCTGAACGAACCCCAACAAAAAAAAAAAAAAAAGCTAATATAAAAGGCAGCTTAAGTTGCATTGTTTTAATCTCGGACCAAAACACAAACCGTGTTCTCTGTCTCTTCTTCTTTTTCGTCTTTCAAAACCAATTTTGTTCTTCTTCTTCTTTCATTCGTTTGTTTTTTTTTCTCTCGTTCTTTGTTCTTCTCTGACGTTGCTTCTTTTTAGTGAGATCGACGATGTCGTCGAAGAAATCTCTAGTTCAAAGCCTCTTCAACATTTCCAAAACCTATTCCCGGATTTCGGGTCTCACCCGGATGCGTCCCACCAAATCCGGCATTCCTCCCGACGCCGGCGATTCTGGTATCCGCCGGCGATTTCTCCACAAGAGGGCTTTTTTCTCCCCGGAGATTGTTCCCAAAGGAGGTAATCTGATCGACAAACTCAGGGAATTGAGTTTGTCCAACAACAACCGTATACGGCTTGACGAGATGCTACCCCCACCTTCGCCGACGAAATCATCACCGGAGTTTTTCCCGGCGGTCACCGTGGATGACGTGAAGAAGCTCATGAGAGCAGCGGAAATGGAGATGGTGAAATCGAGGCTGAGAGAGATTGGCAAGAATTGGGTTCCCTATTCGGAGTTTGTCCGTGTATGCGGAGAGAACAGTTCGGATCCTGAACAAGGTCACCGGGTCGCTAATATGCTTGACGAAGCTGGAAACGTCATCGTTTTAGGAAAACTCGTCTGCCTTAAACCCGAAGAGGTAACTAAAACTGTACATGCATTACAAAAAAATTTATGACCACTTTTGATCAAATTGAGCATTCTTGATGTAATTATTCTGTATGGATTTTACAGCTAACAAGCGCCATGGCTGGTCTGATTCCGACACAAGAACCCACTCTCGACGCCGCGACAAGGCAAGAGTTGGAGAAACTTGAGCTAATAAAATCAGATATCGACAAAAGAGCGGACGATCTGGTTCGAAAAGAATTATGGGCCGGACTAGGCCTAATAATGGCCCAAACAATTGGATTTTTTAGGCTGACGTTTTGGGAACTGTCGTGGGACGTGATGGAACCCATATGCTTCTACGTAACTTCGACTTATTTCATGGCTGGCTACGCCTTCTTCCTCCGAACCTCAAAGGAACCTTCCTTCGAAGGGTTTTACAAAAGCCGGTTCGAGACCAAGCAGAAACGTTTGATTAAAATGCTTGATTTCGATATTGACCGTTTCACCAAGCTACAGAAGATGCGTCGTCGTCCAGACTTCACTAAATCAGCTGGTCCTTGTTGATATCGTAATTCTTTTCTTTCCTAAATCGGATACTAATTAAATGTATAAACGACCAAAATTTTCATAAGAGAATAAATTAGTCTTAGAGGGTAAAAAAAAACAGGAAGTATTGACATGCTAGTAACAGTACTATAAATAACTAAATTATATAACTATTACGTACTTGTAAACTAACAATTAATTTTTTCCAAAGCAAAGTAATTCTTTTTGAGGATCAGACATATCAGTTGACTTCTATGAATGAATGAAAATATACAAAGCCGCGTGGATCGGAAACTTTATTAAAAATGAATAGAGAGATACGTGGTAACTTTATGCTCACACATTGTAGCCCAACTAACAAGTTTCTGTTACAAAACTAAAAAGCATGGACTATACAGTTGGAACACACGTATTTCCAAACATTCACACACAAAAAAAAAAAAAAAAAAACGAATTGTAGGTTTTGTATGGCCTTTAGTTATAACGAAGCTAGGATTGCGTCGACAGCAAGAAATTAAAAAAAAAAGAAGGAAATTATAAATCAATAGAAAAGATCGTTGGAAGTTTTAAACATAGGAACAGCCAATAGAAAAGAAGAAGAAGAAGCACTAAATGTATTAAGGCCATCTGTATGTATATGTGTATTAAGCACTAATAAACTATTTACACTTAATACCAAATATAGAAAACGTGCGTCTGTATGTATATGTGTATACGGGTAAGGTGTGTATAACTGGTGTAGCACATGGCTGATTCAAGACTTTGAAGATGATGTAGTCTTGGAAATGCTAACGATCTGTTTCAAGGTAGCCTCAAGGCTGTAATGATTTAAGGCCATCATTTTGTTAACTTTCCTGAACCCTTCACCGTAGGCTGGTGATCCATCCGTTTCGATTTGGTTCTTAAAAAATTCCACCAGCTTCTTCTCATACTCAGATGGCGCACCTTTCTTTGATGTGATTATGGCTGATGATGATGCATCTGCTGCTGCTACTACTACGTCAGGAGTGGCGTATGCTTGAGGCTCCAACCACATATGGCCTAACACTTGGCATAATCCTTCTTCCAGTGCGTAGTTTAGATTTTTATAACCTGTGACCAATACAAAAGGAAATTAGACACCTCTCCTGTCCTCATCGCTACTACAGTTTCACTTCTGAGGCATTAGTACATACCGTTGAGTCTAAGCCACGCATGCATCATCTCATGAGCCAAGATACATCCAGTCAGGAACCTGTGAGTGAAAAGGGCTTTGATTTAGTCTATCGGCGCAAGAAGAGAGTATTCAGATGAGTTAGGGGTACCTAGGTAGTCCATATAAGATGAGAATTGCAGTGACATAGCTCCCTTTAACCTTTTGAGATTTACGAGCAATTTCTACAGTTGACCCCATCCTTTGCCAGTTTGTGACCTATATATATATAGTTTGCGTGTGGAAGATAGTTAAATTCCAACTTAGGTTCAGTCTCTCAAAGTATATACCTGATCTTAATAAAATGTCTTACACTTATGACAATCTGCACTTCAGACAGGCAAATACCTCTGGTTACCATCCCATAATGATTGTCCTGCTTGTGTTGCAAAGTCACAACACATAACACATATGAGTGAAAGAGTGAGAGAGGGAGAGAGATGAGCAAGTTTCAATTTAGAAAAGAAAGAACTCACAATCTTCTCTTCCTTTTCAGCTTTGTTCAGCGCTTGTTTCTCTACCAAAAGAAGAGGAAACTCTTTGTCGATCTTCATGTGTATGCTCTCGAAGAATTCACGGATTTCCAAATGTAAATCATGGCATTCAACAGTATCCATTATAGCGCACTCCATACATTCTCGACATAGCCATCGACCATCTTCAAGGTTTACATACTTGGTTCTATGACACTGCATAAAACCATTACAAGAATTGAATAGTAAAAAAAGGATTAAATAGATTTTGTTGAAAGTAAGAGCAACTAATATAAATGAGTACCTCTAATCTTTCACAGCTACAACACTTGGGAGTTCCATCACCGTCATGACAAGGGCAGTATTTCTCCTTCCAGAACGGATCTTCCTTATACTCTCTACTTTTACCTTCCTTTCTTACCTTTCGCGGCAACTGACAGATAAATTTATTATTGTACAGTTACATAATTACATCCATAAATCTAATTATATACGTACTGTCACTTTGCTATCGTTTCATATACTGTATATATGACTTAACAATTGCTTTACCTTCTTTTCACAGACATAGCAGTTTTTTGGTTTCTGAGGAGATTTAACAAAAATAAACATTCAAGTTAAAAACGAGGAGTTTAATCAAAGTAATTAACAATAATCCTCAAATTGGTATATGGTTTTAAACCTTGTTCGTCGCAGTCGGCTTCAAATTGGTATCTGATTTTACCTTTGGTTGTTGTTGAGAATGAAGGATGAAACACCGAGGATGCCAAGGAAAATTAAAGGCATCGAACTTTATTCCGTCATCAATCGCCAAGTCGCAACCATGGCATAGGCTACAAGTTAGGTTAATGTAAGTAAATAAATTATTTAATTAAACATACACAATTGTATAATTAAGTACATACATATATACATGTAATTAAGCTTTTTTTTGTTTTGTTTACCTAGGAGGAGGATTCACATCTTCTTCATCCACACGATCATCCACTTGCTCAGTTTTGCTTTTATTCTTTGACTTTTTAAATCTTTTACTGTCAGGCTCAGGTAGCTTCAAACTTTCTTTCTTTGCCTTAGCATTGTCATTCTAGCAGGTCTCAGATCGCCAATGTTAAAAAGGCGTATATAGCAAGCTAAATGGAGTAGCTAGACTCTTCATATATATCAGCTTTAAAACTTAGATAATATATCATGAGAGCAAACAAACAAATATACCTTAGATGAAGAAGTATTAGTTTTGAACCAGCTGGAGAACCAGGAGATCAAGAACGACATACTCTGCTGGAAACTCACACTATCTTCACCAATCTGTGATGACGTCTTACCAAAAGCTCTTTCCTTCACGTTAGATGGAAACTTGAAACCAAAATTTCAGTGAGATTTTATTTTCCAGAGATATTGAGAGAGAGAAGAGAAGAAGACAAAGAGAGGAAGCACTAGTGACTCTATTGGTTGAGCTGCTTCGGACATGTGCAAAAAAAGCCCATTGTGACATCGACTTTTCCCGCTCTTTTTAAAAACGCTGCCGTTTACTTGTATGGACAAAAATCTCCTATTGGAATTATGTAATTCAAAACCAGCAAATTATACATTTTTAAAAAAAAATTATATTTATCATGCCTCAAGAAATTCTTCTCAATTAATTAGATGGTCAAGTTCGACTGACATGACTCGGAAAATCCTATAACTATGAAAATTTCCAGTTTTCTTCAGTTGAGAATGATAAATATAAGGGGTTCATTCATTTAGAAAATTAGTCGAACGGATAATGATATAGCAAATGTTTGATTTTTCAAAGGTCAAGAATTAATACTATAAAAATTACAACCATTCAATCAAATACTAAAGCAAAGACCAAGATTTTTAAATTACACTAAAATCCTATACACCTAACAACCAAGAGGTTGACTCTTGACGTCTCTGTGGATCAATTGCTTTTAATTTGATTTACCGTAAATAATGTTTGTATATAAAAATAAAAAAATTTAGTGGACAAAATATTTGTAATCTTTTTAGACGCATAAAAAATGATAATACAACTGGTATTACGCAATTCAACATACATCATACAAACCACATAGAATTATGCTATATTTGAACCATCTATCATCGAGGTATGTTCCAAACGACTCAATCCTCGATCTTTTACTCCCAAGAATTTTAGGTACATACCATTAATATATGAAAACATTATTAAACGTTAAAAATATGTGATATACTCTATGAATGAAACAGTATAATCAAATCAGATTCATGAGTGATAGACTAATAACTACCGAAACAATTAATGAGAACAGACCACTTTTAATCTCTCATGCTCCGTGCAGAGACCAGAGTCCAAACTATCCCTTTCTTCATAAATCAACCTTGTCTTTGTTAATCACGACCTCTGGTCCTACTTTTTTTTTAAATTTCGTTGATACTTTCTCACCTTTAAGACCACGAGCACCATCTCTCTCGTATATGGTTTTGTTTCCTTCAGAAATTATTTTTAGTAATTTAGTAATATGATCTTCTTTTTTTCGGTAACATTAATAAGGTTTTTTAAAATTAATTTTCTAGTAACATGAATATATGATCTTTAAAACCGCATTGAAATAAAACAAATAATACATACTATGTCACACCATCAATCACGTGGTTCTTCGCCTTGTCATGAACCGAATGTTGTCCATATATATCTCATATCCCAGTTGCTATACATATGAGCGCGTGCGCGGTACGTTGTAATTTGTGTGTAGACTAATTTGAATGGCGTGCGTTGACCATAAATGCCAGATTTGAGAGATATCTATAGCAGCAACACACTTTATGGGCCTTTTAAACGATCAATGGCCCCAAAACAACAAACTACAAAGAAACAAACATTGATGATGATGCCAAACGATCAATGGAAGTTGGAACGTTAGCGAAGTTTTCAGAAAATAATTGTCGTAGAGACTAAAGATTCACCAACATTAAAGGTGTAGCAATTGGTTTGTGGAAATGAAAGGCAACACCAACATTGATGATGCCAAACAGGCACCACAGCCACATATGAAAGATGACAAAGATCCGCAGTGTTGTGCGTGAGTGTGTGTCCGTACGTATATTATACCATCTCTTCCAGGGTATTCAAATTATCTTTGAATCTGGTATAGCATTGGAAGCTTTAACGATCTCTTCCAGGGTATTCTTAAGGCTGTAGTTATTTGAAACCATCATCTGGTAAACTTGTTTGAATCCGAGACCATAGACCGGCGAGTCATCTTCTTTGATCTGATTCATGCAAAACTTGACGAACTTCTTCTCAAAATCAGACCAGTCGTCACTTTTCTTTGACGTAGTAACGGCTGGAGGAGCTGGGGAAGTAGAAGAAGAAGCTACAGCATCAGTAGAGGCAAATGTCTTAGACTCCAACCACCTGAGGCCTAATGCTTGGCATAATCCTTCTTCAAGCTCCAACTTAAGCTTCTTATTATATCCTGTGATCAAAACCAAAAAACGAAAGAAAAAGAGAAGTCTCTCCATGTCTCTTGGTTGGTGATGAGAAATCATCGTGAATACATACCGTTGAGTCTAAGCCAAGCATGCATCATCTCGTGAGCCAAGATGTATCCTGTTAGTAACCTAGGAAATCCATATAAAATGAGAATCCCTGTAACCTCACATCCACTCACCATTTGAGTCTCTGTAACCATGCCTATTAGCTGGTTGTTCGGTCCTATCCTTGGCCTTTTCATTATCTGTACAGATATATATGTGGTACCAAAGTGAAAAAGTCCGGTTAGAATTATACATCGGAAATGAGATGGACATAAGAAATCAGTAGTATATATATAATTAGTAATATACATAAAATCAGTAATCATCGATCATTCAATAACAATTCTGTTATGCTTTTAGGTCTCTTACAGTTGGGACATGATGCTCCTCGGACATGCAAAGACCTCTGGTTACGGATGCACGATGATAGTCCTGTTAATGTTGAAATAATACATGAGACAGAGACAAGGGGAGTTACGTACAAAGCAAGGGATGTGATTTTCTCAACTCACAATCTTCTCTTCTTCCTCTGCTTTATTCAGGGCTTGTTTCTCGACCAGAAGAAGAGGAAATTCTTTCTCAACCTTCCAGAACAACCCTTCAAAGAACTCGCGGATTTCAACATGTAAATCATGGCATTCATCAGTATCCATAACCGCATATTCCATACATTCACGACATAGCCATCGGCCATCTGCAAGCATTACATACTTGGTTCCAAAAGACTGCAAAGAACCATTGCAAGTCAAAAACCTCCAGAGAGAGAGAGAGAGAGGGGGAGAGGGTTTCTATTTTTTTTATTGAAAGTCATGGTAATTAGAACCCAAATTAATATGTAAGAAGGACCTCTTCTAATCTTTCACAGCTGCAACACTTGGCAGTTCCATCATCGTCATGACAAGGACAGTATTTATCCTGCCAGAACTGATGCTCGTTGTACTTTATACCTTCCTCAGTCGAAGGAATCTGAAAGAGTTATTATTATACATATATGCAGCATCCATAAGTAATAAGAGACGACCAATTCTGTTCACTCTATACTACGTACGCACAAAAAGCCAACTAATGAGAGAATTCTTATTAACCTTATGGTTGCAGACATAGCAGGTAGGATGACGGTGCTCCTTGTAGCAATCTATGTGAAATTTGCCTTTCTTTAAAACCTTACGTACAACAAGACAAAAGGATGGTATTAGTTGAATGAAAGCAAAGCAGCGATCAGTATATATGAAACTAGTATAGTTATGGTTTTAAAACCTTACGTACAACAAGACAAAAGGATGGTATTAGTTGAATGAAAGCAAAGCAGCGATCAGTATATATGAAACTAGTATAGTTATGGTTTTAAAACCTCGTGCATAGCAATTGGTTTGTGGCAATGAAAGCAACATACGCATGGAGGATTGACAGGTACTGTTCCATCTCCAATCTCAGATTTGCCACCAATGCGTATGCTACATTAAGTTTAAGTTAAAAAAGTATCCGATTTAATTTAGCCAAATTGAAATCTACAAAACACACACTAATGGAATGACATAAGCAAATACATACCTAGGAGGAGGAGGATTCACATCTTCATCGACAGCATCTTTGGAATGCTCGATTTGTTCCTTATCCTTAAAAGTCTCCATAGGAGTATTTGCAAGCTGCTGATGATCAACATCCACTAGCTTTCTTTTGCGATTCTCCTTGGACCCATGATCTTCTAATCTTCTCTTTCCATCTTCTTTCTCAGCTAGCTCCAGACTTATCTCCGTTGCCCTTTTAATCTCAAACTGTTCACGTGCCTTGCCATCTTCTTCTTCGTACAGTGAAATTTTCTTGGCGGTTTTGATATCAATATCATCCTGCAGGTTTCCGAAATATATATATATATATCACCAAGTAAGTAAATCTGACTAGGCGGCGTTCAACTCAAAAGATATGTAATCAAAAAGCAAACAAAAATAGAAATCTAATAACCTTAGATGGATCATGTTTGAAGCAGGAGAAGAACCACATGCTCTGAAACTAATTACTACCGTTCAAGGGGAACAACCAAGAAAAGGCCAAAGGAACACCAAACCTAGCTATCTCTTTGACTTTTAAAATGGAAACTTCTCCACAGTTTCAGAAGAGATCGATGTTTGAGAAATTGCCTGAAATATTTGGTAGAGCCACTTTGGTTTCATGTTTGAATTAAATCGCGAGAGGGAGAGGCAGAAAGAAAGAGATATTATTACAGTACAGGGTAGGGGAACAGAGAGAGAGAGAGGAGGGAGAATAAACACAACACTAGTGGACTATCTTTTCTTATAAGTTTATAAAAAAAGGAAAGTGAAAATATTTTAAAAAACTATATTCTTATGTTACTTGGTCAATAACAACTATATTCTTAATTTCCCTTCTTTTTCTTTTTTTACAACTACATAATTTCCCTTTTGTATACATAAATAAATGCACCATTGAGTATGCGTTTTCTTTTCTCGTTTCTTTTTTTATTATTGTTTTAATAAGTATTTACTTTTTGCTGTTATTTACCTATTTCATAAGGATATATTTTGGTGTTCATATGTCAAGGGCTGGTCAATTAGGAAATAATATGATTAGGATGTTGTTTTAATCATAATAAATGGGATATCTTTCTCTTATAATCATTAAAAATAATATTAAGAAAAAATCACCTTTTGTTTGGGTACCAATTATAAATTCATCTCATTTCATGTAAGTCGTCAACGTCAATTAATCAAAACTAATATAGCTGGCTTTTGTGCTTTTCAGCCTTCAACAATAAACAGCTACAAATGTTGTTTTTTTCCTATATGCTAGTGTGTGTGCTTTTTCACATTTTAATGCTACAATACTTTTCTTTCAGATATGATGATTGTTTTGCTCTTTGTTTATTTCGTACCTAATCCCTCGATATATCATCTTTGCAGCCTTTCAAAAAAGAAAAAAAAAAAGAAAAATCATTATTTTGTTGTTATTAAATTAAGTATGATCCTAGAACAACATTAAAAAGGATGGAGAGATGATTACACACACCCGTTCACGTGGTTCCCAGTTACCCACCCATAGCGAGAGAGTCCAAATACAGCCGAAACGCAACCATCAAAGATGGAAGAAACGAGAGCGCCAGAAGAGGGAAGCACGGTGTCGTATTTTTTTTGTTTGAAATTGAATGATGTGGTTGTGACCCTTCTTCTTCACCAGACCATACTCTATGGGCATTAAAACGATCATCGAGCCCAATAAAGACAAATCATAGAGAAAATGTTCTGTTTAACTCGAACCTTTCATAACAGAGTCGCGGTAGAGATTGTGGACTCGAGCGATGTCTTTAGAACCAATGGTCCACACATGACCCTTCAACGCCAAACGCAAAACGTTGCTATTCTCTATCTGGTTGCTCTCTTCAACCGCAGCCGCCTCTTTTCGCTTCTCTTCTCTCCACAAACTCTTAACAAGCAGCTCTTTTGTCTCTCTGTCTGGCATCAGATTAGACTCCTTCATGTCTTGGAACACTCTGTAAGCTAGCACTGATCTTTCGCATCTGCAATACGCTTGAACAAGAAGCTTCAACATGTAAGGATCAGGTTCAAGACCTATCTGTCTCACCATCGAGAAAAGTCTCTCAACTGTTTGAATCTCTCCCTGCAATGCAAAGTGATTCATTAAACCCGAGAACGTCTGTATATCAGGAGAAACTCCTGTCATAATCATATCTTCTAGCGTTTCTAAAGCTTCTGCGTTTCTCTTGCACTTTGTTAATGTTCTCAAGAGCGATGAGTACAACAGCATGAGTTTGAAATCCGATATTGAACCACATAGAGCTCTGTCTTGGCGGAAAACCTTGATGGCTGCGTCCGGTTTCTTTGAAATTCCGTATAGATCAATGATCAGCCTGATGGTGCTGAATGGTAATTTGATCCCTTCAATCCTCACTTTCGAGATGAGCTTATCCACCAGTTCAACTTGTCCGTTGCGTGCTAACATAGTCATCATTCTCTCAATCGTGTAGGCGTCGTGGGTGAATCCCGGTTGAATGGCCACCCAACAGAAGAAACTCCATGCTGTTTCAGGTGATCTGAAGTTTCTTAGCATCTTGCAGACCAATAGATTTGTCCAGACGAAGTTAGCTTCTTCCAAAGCAGTGACCACATCAGAGCTCCACTTCTTTAACGAGTTTGCTAAAGCCTTTGGGTCCAGCCATGGCTTCAACTTAACTCGAGCTTCATTAACATCATCATTCTGTTCATCTCCTTCGTCTTCGCTATCGCTGGGACTATCCATAGAATACAAAGAAATGTCCTTGATTCTCTCATCTGGCAACATTTCTCGTAAGAACTCCTCTGTTTCTTGTTCAAATCCAGCCTCCTTCATGCATTTCAGAGGCTCAAGCATGCGTCTACTTGGAAACTTCCCATCAGCTTTCATCGCAGCAAGCAGAGTCTTGACTACACCAAACCTTTGCGCATCAACAAAAGCTTCAACCAAAACCGAATAATGCTTCAGAGTCCGCGTAATCCTCATCAAAGGCAAGGTCTCGAAAACCTTCAAGGCTGCATCAAGATTGCCCAATTTCACAAGATGCTCAATCATAATCGTGAATGTTCTTGAATTCGGAAGCCCTCCTTCGTTGATCATCTGATCAAAAGTCAGCACAGCCTCAGAATCTTTGCCTAATCTCATGTAAGCCTGCATCACAATGTTATAGGACTCAGTGCAGCCTTTCTTCTCATCTCCTGAGCATCTATACTCGTCCCACGTCTTCAGAACCGAGTCGAAATCACCAGCAGTCGCGTACAGGTTCATGAGATTCATAAAGCTGAAATGAACTTGGCCGAACTTACCAGCATTGACAACTCCAATAAGAGAATTAAGCTCTGAAGATCGCTGAAACTTTGCAAGAACAGTAGCAAAGGCGTGAAGTGTCTCAGTCTGAAATGAAAAGCGAGGTTTTTTTTGCCTAAGAGTATTGAAGATAGACCAAGCAGAAGCCAGAGAAGGGGACGAGCGTAAAGCGTTCTTGACGACAAAGGAATCGAGAAGACGGTGGTTTAGAAGAGAGGTAAGCGTCGTGTCTGAGGTTGTGGAGCGGAGGCTGAGACGGATAGAGTCGATGAGGTTTGCTCGGCAAAGGTAGTGCTGGACTTGGTTAGGGAACGGGTCACGAGAAAATAATCGAATTTGATGCAGGATTATGTAGTTAAGAGGCTTGGCGACAGGGTTCGAGAAGATGAGAGAAAACATCTGGAATCACAGTGACACTCAAAATGTAGAAGGATTTAAAAGCCTGATATGCCTCTTTGAAGAAAATGTGGTTGGGGCAAATGATCGAACACCTGGTGTGCTTTATTGAAACAACACAAGAAAATGAATCAGATTTCCCCAAGTGCCAAAGAGGCACAGTTGTCTTGTCTGTAATTTGTATTAACGATTTCCGTTAAAGCGGAAACTTAAAAAGAAGAGACTTGAAGAAACGGTTTCTTTAAATTAAGCGGGAATAGATCCACCGCAAGAATTGAATCCAACGAGGAAATCCGAAAAGATCCTCAAAGGTTCCAACTTTACCGGAAAACGAAGAAGAAAGAAACAGTTTTACACACCAAAAAAAAACAAGGAAAAGCCTAAACGGGACGGCAACATGAAGTTTGGAAAACGTGCGTCTGTGTAGATATATATATGTGTGTATATGGTATGTATACGTGTAACGTGTCGACGTGGAGTAAATGGCTGATTCAAAGACTTTAACTCCGGCGAAGAATCTCTCTGAGTGTATCCGGGAGGTTGGAATTTGTCACCATCTCGTTAACTTTCCTGAACCCCTCACCGTACACTGGTGATTCATCTGTCTCTATCTGATGTTTGCAAAACTCCACCAGCTTCTTCTCGAAATCAGACCACTCCCCTTTCTTCGACGCACTAGCTGGAGGAGTGCGGGAAGAAGAAGAAGAAGAAGCTGCAGCTGCAGTAGCATCAACAGCGGCGTATCTCTCAGACTCCAACCACATGTGGCCTAACACTTGGCATATTCCTTCTTCCAAAACTTTGTTAAGATTTCTGTGTCCTGTTTCAAAAGCAAAAACACTTGAGACCTCTTCCGCAAGTTCTTTTGTGAACCTTAATATCTGGTTGTTTGACCAATTACTTACCATTGAGTCTAAGATAAGCATGCATCATCTCGTGAGCCAATATATATCCGGTTAGTAACCTGCGTTTGAACATAGCTTTTGATTGAGCATATTTCCCCCAAGAGAGTACACTGGTGGGAGATGAGGTGCAAGAGATGTAAAACTACCTTGGAAGTCCATATAGGATGAGAATTGCAGTGACCTCACACTCACGAACAACCCTTTGAGGTTCTGTAGCCATGCCTGTTAGTGTTAGCTTGTTGCCCGGCCCCCTGGTTGGCCCTTGTGAGACCTGTATATGTGGACCAGACCAGAGTTACAGTCGTCATAAACTCCAATTTACTTTTTATTCTAAAGTAAGAGTTATCCAATATAAACTCTTACACTATCGACAGTCTGCTCTTCAGACAGGCAAATACCTCTGGTTACCACCTCATACTGATAGGCCTGCTTATTTTGAAAGTTACAACACATATGAGTGGAAAGAGAGAGACAGAGATAGAAAGGGGAAAGTTTCAAATAAGAAAAGTACTCACAATTTTCTCTTCCTTCTCAGCTTTATTCAGCGCTTGTTTCTCCACCAAAAGAAAAGGAAATACTTTCTCAATTTTCATGTTTAAGCCTTCGAAGAAATCACGCATGTCAAAGTGTAAAGGCTGGCATTCATCAGAATCCATAACGGCAGAATCCATACATTCTAGGCATAGCAATCGACTATCACCAAGTGCTACATAGTTCGTTCCCATAGGCTGCAATGAAAGTTAGACAAGTATGCTTATAATTTCTTTCTATGTTTCGATATGGTCGTTGATTCTTCATCTTATATCAGTCCCCTTTGCCGTGTTTTGCTGTTCGAAAGGTAAAACTCACCTCTAACCTTTCGCAACTGCAACATTTGGGAGTTCCATCAGTCTCATGAGCAAGGCAGTATAATTCATTCCAGAACGGATGTTTACCAAACTCTCTAACCTGAAAGAAAATAAAATTATATTTACATTCACGCCTCAGCAAAAATAGTACCAATAGAGAATCCAATATTCGCATATACCTTCCCTTTGCAGATATAGCAGTACCGGTCATAACAGGATTTGTGAAAACTGCCTCTCGAGTTCGAAACCTAAGGAGTTATCAAGAATTTAAGTTTTGCATCCAGAAAAAGAAAGGAATAACTCAATGAGTATATTAAGATACCAAGTAATTTCAAAACGGAGTTGTTTACATACATAGTTTTTAACCTCCTGGATAGCAATTGGTTTGTCGCAAGCATGACAAATTAAACATTTAGGATGCCAAAGAACACCCAAAATATTCACAGATCTTCCATGTTCGATCACCAAGTCGCACCCACCACACATGCTACAAGTGAAACACACATAAACAGAGTATGACATATCTATACGTTGCAAGAAAGAACACAAGAGAGCTAGCAAAGCTTACCTAGAAGGAGAATTCACCTTTGGGAGGTTTCCATCATCGTTGGGTTGCTCTATTTGACCATTCCCCTTAAAACTCTCCCAAATAACCCGCTGTACATCTTCATCCACAGGACCTCTAGTGGAAATGTTGTTATTTTCTTCAAGTCGAGGAGGATAATCTACCATGTTTAGACTCTCCTGAACCATCAGAGCATGCTGTTTATCATTCTCCAGCTGATCATCTTCAAACTGCTTTCTTTTGCCTTTGTCCTTTAAAGTCTCTTTTACAGCCTTAGTAAGCTGCTTATCTACATCTGACAGAGCTCTAGGAGAAATACTTGTATTTTCTTTAATTAGAGTAGGAGACTCAACCATATTCAGACTCTCCTGAACCATCAGAGCATGCTGTTTATCATTCTCCAGCTGATCATCTTCGAACTGCTTTCTTTTGCCTAAGTTTCTTAAACTCTCCAGAACAGTCTTAGGAAGCTGCTCGTCTTCTTCGTCTCCCAATGCAGTTCTATTATTGATCTGCCTTTCTCTTTCCTCGTATAGAAGACCATTTGCTATCTGCGCATCCCTTTCAGACTCTCTGGTGCGCCTTCTTTCCTCTTCCTCCTCTTGTTGACGAAGTCGAGATGATTCCTCATAGGCCAACTTAAGCTGTTCATCCTCATGAGTGTCCAAAGAAAGCTGTTTAGCTTTTTGAATGTTAGCTTCATGCAGTGAAACTAGCATGACGTGATTAGTTTCGGCTTCAAAACGATCCTAGAGGTTTTCAGACGCCAAAAGTTAGAGATTAGAAAGGAAAAAGCAGGCACTTTAACAGAAGAAACAACCAAGCAGATCATATTACCTCAGAAGTGGAGGGTTTGAAGCAGCAGGGGAAGCACCGCATCTTCTAAAACCGACTTTGTCACCGATCTGGCCAACCTTTTTACCCTGCGAATGTTTATCATGATTGAGAAACCCAAGGATCAAGACAACAACACCAAAAGATTCACTTTTCCAAGCCAAACATCTCAATTTTACATCAAGCAAAGGCAAAATGCCACGACTTTAGTCAAATAAACGGGAAAAAAAACTAGGTTACGAAAGCTGAGAGCATAATTAGGAAACATATTAGCGACAATCTCGGCGAATTATGAGGAAATACATATTAGATACAGAACAAGACAAGACAAACACAACAACAAACTACCTGATACATAGTGCTTAGTATGAAACAGAAGAAAGAAGACTATGCCTACTACTAGTGGTTATAGCAAGAAACTACCTGAAACGACTAAAAACGGAACGTGATCTTCTAACCTGAGAGGACGAACAAGGCAAGGCAAAACCCAATAGTCGCCAAGAGCACGGCGGCACATGAGCTGAAAGAGGAATGCAGAAACCTTATAATGATGAGAAACTCGAGTTTTTCACATGGGGTTTTTTTTCTAAAAATTCCCAATTTTTTTGATGCAGACGCGGTTCTCTGAACGACACATTAATGATGGGTGAAGCTTTTAACCAAGGATATTCTAAAGCGAGCAGTCGAATTTAATAACTAACGATTCGACCAAATTGAGAGATCGGTTTAAAGTCAATACTTGTATTTAAAAAAAAAAAAAAAGAAAGTCAATACTTGTACCCAAACCCGTCGTGAGATGCTATCCAAGACGAAGGCCATGGCTTTTGGGTATCGTTGCAGCCCAAAGCGGTTTCGGTTTCGGTTTCTTTTCCTCATGTGGAAACTTCGCGACATCTTCCACGAGGGTTTCCAGAAGTTTCCACAGACCAAGCTACTGTGTGTGTGCTGTGTTGTTGAATTGGTCTTGCTTGAGACAAGGAAAGAAAGTAGTAGTAGGCGAGAAGAAGAAAGAGAAGAAACACACTCTTTTGTGGTCCAATCCAAACGACCAGCTGTTTTTGCAACACGTGCCCGTAACCTCATTTCTCAGTGGTATTTAAGTAATTTGCTTAAGTTTTTTGAGACGACTTTAATCAGAGTGGTTTCCCTCCTTACTAAAACGACGCCGTTTTCTCTACTATCAATAAAATTGTTTAATAAACTTGGGATGATTCATGATCAATAGAAGCTTAATTTTATGATAAAGGGTTAATCTTGGAGAAACGGCTATAGGGACTAATGAAAAATTAAGATAACGAAACTTGGAATGATATGTGAAATCATATTTTGGATATTGATATGAATAGCAAAATGCAATGTCTATTTTGGCATAATGGGTATTCATATCTATAGTTTTTTTTGACCAAGTCAAGCATTCCAATTAGACAAAAGTAGAATGCATGAAAAAATGATCTAAGCTTAGAAATTGTACACAAAAAAAGAACGGTGAAATAGGACATCAAAATTAGATACATATGAAAATAGAGACAAAAAAGAGCAACTGATACACAACTTGTTATGAGAAATACGAAAGGAGCTACATGATGGGACAAAACAAATTGAATGTATAGATAAAATAATGAAAAAGTTCACTTGGGTTGTCTGGAATTCCCCAGATTTGAGGCTAACATGTGGTGAAGTTCGCTATGAGAATTAAAATTTGTAGCTTTATGGTGGGAAAATGGGAATTATGTAAAGCTCTCTCTATTTTCATCATAAAACAAAATGACGCGGAGAAATATAGAAAAAAAAAGAGCAAGTGAAATTATGAATTAAAAAGGATAAAAAATACTGACCCAAAATCCGTCGTGTGGAGTGAATGAATACACTGATTCACTGAGTCAAAAGGTTGGAAGGCCATGGCTTTCTTTTTGCTAAACAAAAACTCTTTCCCCTTTTCTTTACTACTGTTGGAGAAGAGTTGAGTTTCCACAACTGGAGTCTTGGAGGGAGCGAATCAAGAAACACTGAGCAAAAGGAGTGACGCGTATGCACGCACATGGAGAAGAAATAAGACCATAAACACTTTTGCTTGTTTTGCCACGCCGCGCAACCACATTTCTCTCAGTGGCAATTCTCGTAAAATACAAGTAAGCTTGCTTTCGTGAAATTCCCAATATTGTTGGGTATAGAACAAATTGGGCCTAGGCCCATGTGGCATTATCAAATGTGTGTCGACGACGACTTTGACGTTTATTGCGCACAGTGACGTTTGGCTCTCACTCTTGATTAAAGTATTAAACCCCACATTTACACTTCCACGTGTATCAAACATTAAATAATAATTGAATTAAAACAATTATCTTGCGCTGTACCAACTAAACTACAAAAGTCGTATTAAAAACAGTGACTAATTCAATCTACAAAAGGGACAGTTTATATAAATTATATAATCATTTACTTGTTCAGCAGGCGACGATATATAAAAGGCTTAGACTGACTTGAGAGGATCGTCGACAAAAATATTCATCACAAAAAAATGATGATGAGAGATGTTCAAAACGCAAACAGAGTCCAGACGAGTGCAAACGACGTACCTTTTCAATCACCAGGAGATTACGTTAGATTCATAAGCCCAGAGGTTTACAGATCCAACAGACAAAAGTATCTCAGAAGCTACACGTTCAAAAGCTACGAGGATGAACAAATCTTGTCCGCCAAGAAACAGAGGAAGTGGTTCAAGAACAAGAAGGTGATGAAGAGGACGACTGAGTCACTTGGGAACTCGCTCAAGTCTTGTCTCAGGCTCTTATTCTCTTGCTTCCATGTCTGATTCGTATATATATGTGTGTACGACCATTTCCTTTTTCTTTTAATCGTATCTTCAGTATGTCCTTTGGAATAATTTCGAACTCCTTTGTATATGTTTAACCATATCGAATTCGAATGTTATACGTTCATATTTTGCAGGTCCATCAAATATCTATTTATCTTTTTTTTTGATTGCATAAACTTTCGAGAACTGACAGAAAGGAATGTTAGCTGTTCTGTTTCCTTGTCCTGGAAAAAACAAAAAAAAACACTCCAATTTGTTTATGAGTCCAACGAGAAAATTTTATGAACATTTGTTTTATCATAATTCATTAGTTAATTATGTGAGCCGGCACAGTCGAACTATCATAAACGTTCTTCAATATATCTAAAAGTCTTTATATTATTACAACGTATTTTAAATTTTAAAGAGTTGACTCATGTTTAATATATATACATACATTGCCAACGAAAATAACGAGAAGAAGAGAAATTAATATTCACAATCAACGTTGTTATTTAAATTAAAAAAAAAAAAAAAAGGACAGAAAGAGACGTGTACTGGTTGGTCCGTCGCGATCTATGAGTAGATAAATTGTACATATAGTGTGATAACTTATTAGGTTATTGAGAAATATAAAAGACATCATCAATGTAATGGTTTTTGGATTATAGTTTTCCTGTTAAATTATGAAATATATTTATAGGATTTTCTCTGTACAGAATTGAGTATCTTAGGCTTGAACTCTGACAATGGATTACATAAAAACCCAAAAGGCCTAGCAGCTAAAGCCCAATCAATAAAGGCTTTTTCTTACTTCAACAACGTTCATTTTTGTTATTTCTTCGGATAAACTGTACGTCCCACAAAATCTGATTTAGAGTTTTTAAAAGACAATGGGATTTATCTTGAATATATAGTAGGCTAAAAGATAAGACATCTCGGATATTGTGAATGTATGTCCGACGTTATTCAGAATTCGAGGCGATTAGTGAGTGGAATATATGAGCTCCAAAAAACAAGGTAGTAGTAGTATATGTTATGTTAGTATACCCATTACCAATACTCTCTTTTTTGTTTCTCACCATGAACTAATCATATACATACTCACGAAACTTAGCAATTGGAAAAATATATTCACATACATGCAAACCCCAAATATAATAAAATAAAAATAAAAATTTCAAAACAAACTACAATCGGATCGGGTACGTAACGTTGTAGTATTTTCTTTTTATTTTTCTAATAGTAACAGACTAGTTGAAACATGACGACAATATTAGAGAAGACATGGATTGTCCCACTACCTTTTTTTATGCATTGATCCTCGGAAGGAAGAAGTGAAGTAGTGAACACACACACACAGAAAAAAAATAAAGAAAAAGGAAAAAGAAAAAAACAAACTTTATATGGATGGATTCACATTTTCAATTTTATAAAATTTTCTCGTGTGGATGGATTCTTTGACAAAAGGAAGTCCACTTCTCACACACAAACAAATTCTCCGGACATGGCATTTGTCAATTTTTTCTCATATAGAGAGAATAGAAAGGGACATAGACAAGTCACAAGAACCCAAAAGCTATAAGCTCTATACAATCTATCTTTCCAAAAAATTTGATGTCTCCTTTTTTACTTTCATTTCTTTTGAGGTCTTGAGTGTTTTTTTTCTTTTCAATCTTGTCCTCTTCTATCTTCTTTATCTGTTGAGCGATTTTAAATTTGGAATTTTACTCACTTTTATTTCTTCTTTCTTTTCGCCTTTGCTGATAACCTTTTTTTACGAATCCTTTTTGATGTTACTCTATGTGTTGTGTTGGATGCATTCGACGACGTCCTTTGTTTCGGGTGCGATTTTATTTAATGTTAATGTAATGTTATAGCGGTGCGACTTTTCAGAAACACGATAATACTATATGGGTTCACGGGTTTACTACTGCACACCAACTGTTGGTTGAAATTGTCCCAGCGTACCAAGTACCATATTCATCTCCTCTGTTCTGGCTGCTGCTGCTGCTGCTGGCGTCTCTTTGATTACCATCTGGTAAATTTTACTTTATCAACTCAACCAAGTTTACTGGAACACAATTGATGATTCGATTGATCTTTTTTTTTGTAAGAAAATTATGAAGAAATAATAATGTTAATAAGATAGGAATAGGTTTTGGTGACTATGGGGCCATGTGATTCAAGATGAACTGTGTGTGGAGGAGTTAGAGGGACGGTCAACTACTCTGACTTGTTTGCCAATAAGCTGAATAAATCTATTAACCCTATTACTTACTTAATCAACTATTATTTCGTTTTCGTTTTCTCTACTTATGTTCTTTTTTTTCCTTGCTATAGTTGTTAAAACTCATGAAGATTGCAATAGAATTAGACCATCATCATCAACTCATCTATAGAAACAGAGAACATTATTCTCTCAACAAAAATAAGAATTTAAAAGAAAGAGAAAAGTTGGGTATTAATATTCTAATACCAATGCACATAATATATAGTATAGTTTAAGATTAGTTAATTTATAACTACTTAGTTTGGTGACCATAAACATTAAGCACCAATAGTAACTTTTTTATTTTCAAGCAAAAACACTATTGTCTATTTTTTAAGTTTGACAACCCTCAAGCTCTCTCCTTTTTTGGCCGATTTGGTTGAGAATCCGACGACGACTCGTGGGGTCGTGTACACATTGGTGACTGCTCTTTTGACACGAGTCGCCTCTCTTCTTCTCACTACCATTTCCATGAAACATGAGCTAAAAGGCTAACTCTTTTTTTTTTTTAGTTCTTCTTCTTCTTCAATTGAAACCCACTACACGCTTCTTTTGTCCATTTTTAATGTTAAAAGCTTCCTCCTTTATTGCTAAAAAGTTACAAGATTCGCAAGTTTACAGTTTCCCTTGGCCTCTTCTCACAGGTGAAGAAGAAGATTCACTTGCCTTTTTTTCTTCAAAAGTCCCCAACTTTTCAGTCCATCTCCCCCTTAAAGTTCAAGCTTTTTATGGGTTTCTAGCCGAGCAACTACTCTGGATTGGTGACACTAAGTTTTGCTACCATCTCTTGAAGCATTTACTGTAACTCTTTGGCTAAGGAGAAAAAGTCAGCTCCTTTGTGGTCATATATGGGATTTGCCGTAGGTGGTGGAGGTGGTAGAATGTTAGATTTGAGGATGGTCCAAAATCACAAGCGTTCAAAGAGGTATACTGTCTACTTTATTTGTTCGTTATTAACAACTACTTTATTTGTTTGTAGATTTCTCGAAATGTGTCACTGTTTGCTATTTATGGAATCACTTGCTGCTGGGATGGGTTAAGGCAACAACTGGGAATTTGAGAGTTATGGTTGCAAAATCACTCAGATCTTCTCTTGTTCGTTGTTAAATTACAACTTTTGTTGTTCTGACTCCTGAACAAGATAATGTGTTTGCTAAAACGCTTGGCTATGCTGGTGTAGTGGGTGAAGATTAAACGTTTAAATTTTTTGTCTGATACAATTTGGAAATGCTCTTTTTGCGCAGTGCTAGCTTTCCAGAAAAGAAAAGAGGTGAGGGAGATAAAACCTCTAACAGTTCTCATGAAGCCTCTCAACGAATCAAGCTGGTGAGTACGATCATCTCTTTTTGCTTTTGCTTACTGGTTAAAGTTGGGATAAAGTGTATTGGTATTTGTTAAAGAACAGCCTAACACGCTGAGACATGATTCTTGCCTTCTTGGATTTATCTTTATGTTTCTTTGACTAATAAGTATCTTTTTTTTTTCCCAAGCTGCTTTTTTCTTTTGCATCTTTTTTGTGAAAAGCCTTTACACAAACGTTTCGCTATACTTCTTTGTATCCTTCTTGTTTGTCTTATAGTTTTTTTTTTAAGGAATTTCCTTTCTGGTGTGAAATTTGTTAGAAACTAAATCTCTCTTATAAATGAAAGTGAGTACAAAGCTGTTTCTATTTCTTAGTAAACCTCTTCTGAGGATCGTTTATGGATTTTGTCTGACTTGGTTTAGGACATGGGTCGTTCAAATGAATCCAAGCATAATCAATATCATTCAAACACCGAAACTTCATTGAAGGAAGAGGTAATGTTTACAGTTTTTTAAACTTGGTTCATGTCCTTGTTCGGTTGGTTAGTTTCAATTACCTTATTCCTATGATTGGGATCACAGATTAGTCAGCTTGAGACTAGATTACAAGATCAGTTTATGGTTCGTTGTGCATTAGAGAAGGCGTTAGGTTATCGGACAGCCTCTTCGTACATATTGAGTGAAGCAAACAACATTCCCATGCCTAAGGTCAGTTTCTTACATTTTCCAAAACTGACTTATGTTTCTTTAGAAATGAGCTTTGTGCATTCTAATGATGCGTTTTTGGTTATTATTTTCTCTTCAGCCAGCTACTGATTTAATCAAAGACATTGCTGTTCTGGAGATGGAAGTTATACATTTAGAACAGTTTCTTCTTTCATTGTATAGAAAGGCCTTTGAGCAGCAAATCACTTCTGTATCCCCAAACTCCGAGAACAAGAGGCCAAAATCTCCTCCTGTAACAACCCCTAGAAGGCGTCTAGACTTTTCTGAAGATGATGAAACCACCTCAAAAACAGAGCAGCCTTCTCATCCTCTGCTTGATGATAATCAAGATCAATCACTGGAGATTCCTGCGGACCAGATGGACCCCAGTTTTCGTCGTAGCCACTCTCAACGTTCGGCATTTGAGTGTAGGAAAGCTTCTCCAGAAGATTCTTGGGGTAAAGCCATCCGCTCTAGTCACTCCCAACCACTATATGTGAAAAATGGAGAAACTCTAATCAGTCTAGCTGAACATCTTGGAACCCGAATATCGGATCATGTTCCAGAAACACCTAACAAATTATCTGAAGGAATGGTCAAGTGTATGTCAGAAATATACTGCAAGCTCGCAGAGCCGCCTTCTGTACTACATCGCGGGCTTTCATCTCCAAACTCGTCTCTTTCATCAAGTGCATTTTCGCCCTCAGACCAATTCGATACGTCAAGCCCTGGATTCGGAAACAGCTCCTCTTTTGATGTTCGGTTAGATAACTCTTTCCATGTAGAAGGAGAAAAGGACTTCAGTGGACCTTACATCAGCATTGTTGAAGTGCTTTGCATTTACAGAGACGCCAAAAAGGCCAGTGAGGTTGAAGATCTTCTGCAAGACTTCAAGTGAGTCACTTTTGCTTTTTGCTTAGAGGCTAAAGCTGGTCCTTTTAGACATTTAAGTTGTTACATATAGACTAGAATATGATTGGAAGTGAATTGGGATCTATTGATGCACAATCTTGAAAATGTTTAAACGTTTGCAGATCGCTCATCAGTAGATTGGAGGAAGTAGATCCAAGGAAGTTAAAACATGAAGAGAAACTAGCATTCTGGATAAATGTGCACAATGCACTTGTAATGCATGTAAAATCTCCTTCTTTCTAGAACCAATCTCGTTTTTTTTCCATCGCCTAGATTTTAGTTTCTTATCGAAATTTCTTTCAATCTCTTTTAGGCTTTTTTAGCTTATGGGATTCCACAGAACAATGTGAAGAGAGTCCTACTGCTACTCAAGGTAACGGACACCATCTCATGGAAGGAGAATAAACACAGTTGAACTATCAGTTTCTAGATTCTGAAATTATCAAGCTTTTGCATTTTTCCAGGCTGCGTATAACGTTGGTGGACACACAGTTAGTGCTGAAGCGATACAAAGTTCAATTCTTGGATGCAAAATGTCTCATCCTGGACAGGTACATAAAAGAAAACATGAAACTTTTCTCTTCAAAGCACAAAAGCTTGAAACTAAACATTGCCTTCTTTTCATTTCTCTTAGTGGCTTAGACTACTGTTTGCTTCGAGGAAATTCAAAGCAGGAGATGAAAGATTAGCTTACGCAATTGATCATCCGGAGCCTCTCATACATTTTGCACTTACTTCAGGCAGCCACTCCGATCCAGCGGTACTTACCATGGATCTGTGAAACACTTAAAAATCCTTTGATACTACAAAAGACTTGAGTCTCTACTTATTTGTGTCAAAACAGGTTCGTGTATATACACCAAAAAGAATCCAGCAAGAGCTCGAAACGTCGAAAGAAGAGTACATAAGAATGAACTTAAGCATACGCAAGCAGAGAATCGTATTGCCAAAGCTGGTGGAGACGTTTGCAAAAGACTCCGGTTTATGTCCGGCGGGTTTGACAGAGATGGTCAACCGGAGTATACCGGACACTTCAAGAAAATGTCTAAAGAGATGTCACTCTGGTAGTAAATCACGCAAACCAATTGATTGGATCCCTCACAGCTTTACATTTAGATATCTTATTCTTAGAGAAGCTGCCAAATGAAATCACTTCGACAAATTCATTCATTATAAGAAGAGAATGTGTGTGTATGTTATATATTAGTGTAAGATATCGCTGTCTATGCCCACCCCACTATCTGATTAATATTATGATAATGCTGTTCTCTCTCGATGATTGGATCTTGTCTCCTCCTCACAGTTACTTGGCATTTTCAATAATTTATATGTAATTCTCCACAGCTTAACATCATCAATCAGATCACAGCACAATATTATTCGTTCTATACAATTCCAAAACTGAAACTGGCAAAAAAAAACACTCATTAAAACTACTTTTTATTCCATGATATTATGAATCCAGCCAATTGTGCTACTAAGGCGTTTGGCCAATAATGTATGAAGATGTATTTTTATTTGATGTCTTATAAAGTAAATGTATGAAGATGTGGCAATGTGATTGCATTTCTAATACATTCAAAATTAACAGTAAGAAAATCTATGTTTAATTGCATTAATTTTTGTAATCTATATTTAGATTAGATTCATGTAAGTTTTATTATATGTCCTAACTTTTGGGACTTCAGTTTAGATATTCATATTTACGTTCTTTTGTTGAACATATTACATATCTAAGTTATCAGTTACATTCTTATAATTATTCACAAAGGTTCTTATAATTAACTTAGTTTCCTTTATTCACAAAGATTCGTGATTAAGAAGAGCAATGGTTGGATCTTGTCTCCTCACAGTTACTTACATTTTCAATAATTAATATATATATTTTTTTTTCTTTTTTTTGTCATCAATAATTAATATCTAATTCACCACAGCCTAACATCATCAATCGGCGCATAATCTTCAATATATTAAAAATATTCCAAAACTGAAATTGGCAAAAAAGAGCACATTTATACTAATTTATTAATTTGAAGTTTGATGATGATGAATAGATGATTCAAGTGCTAGTATGGCTTTTGGCCAATAATATTTCCCGGAGGGTTATAAAAACAAATGGTTAAAACCGTTGACTCTTTAGCACACGTGGCTTGAGCACAGCCGAGCTCTTTAGAGTTCCTCCACACGACTTGTTTATAGACCCCGCACGTATGGTTTGCAGCGCACGTGTCTGACTTGTAATTGTAGAAAGGTTTCTCCTTCACCCAAGTCTCCACCGCAAGCGAAGGTGGCACGGCCAGTCCCTTACCCCAAAGCTGGTTCGCGCCGTATTTCCCAGGATTAAGGCTCGCGAACTCACACTTCTTCTGATTCCTCTGGTAACGAGCCAGCCTATTCGCCGCAGCTTCCAGCGTCCGGCTCCAAACCAGTGGCGGAACACCGACCATGGCTCTGGCCTTGTTGTGCGCATCAAGGAAATCTTTGGCCGCCGCTGAGATCGCCGGAGGTGGAGGAGGAGTAGTAGGAACGGTTTGTTTTGGTTTCAGTTTAGCCGCGGGAGAGACGGCTGTGACGGAGATAGCAAGAAGTGCCACGAGGATGATGATGCGATGGGTTAAAGCCATTCTTTGGTTTATTCGCAGCCTGAAAAAAGATCAGTATTCATTCAGCTTATTATATAGTCCGTAACATTATATAAAGAAATGTAACAAAAACTATACGTTAAAGGGGAGATCATTAGAGATGCATAATAAGATAGGGATTAGTGGAAGGAGACAAAATAATAATACAAAGTAGGAAGAGAGGATCATAGCACGTGAATGTGTGTGTGTGATTGATTGATCTACTCAAGTTGTCTGTGTTGCATGTGAGGGACAGATACCCAAACGATATTTAATTTATTTAGTTCTTGTTGTTGCTTTCAGGCCCATTAATACTTATAGGGCCAATATGGGTCCAGTCCCCTTTGCCTCGTATTTTTTTTGCCGAACTAAATTATTGTTGTTTGTCCTAACTCGTAACATCTAATCAAAGAATAATCCAATCATGTCTATGATGATATCTCAGTGACTGTTTCCTTTTGTATTAATATTGGGTTCGCATATGTGGTGCAAATGCAATCCCGACCAAAGAAAATGTCAAGAAAAATAAAAAGGATTTTCACCTTTTAGTGGCAGCAAAGAATTTGAATTGTTGTTGTCTTTAATTATAGTTTTTTTTTTTGACTCGGTCGTTTTTGTTGTCACATTGTATTGTATATTTGCTAATATTTGCCGGATGCAGGAGATATGTATCAGATGTGATAAATATGCAGGAAGAGAAGTGAGAATGGACCACAACTAAAATACAACTTCATCAAAGCAATATATCTTTTGTCATTAATTAATCCTTATCTTGTTTCTTTGAATTTAGAAAGAAAACAATTCGTTCGGTATGTCTTTACATATATGGCACATAGAGATGTTCTTTATCTATCTATCTGGTTCAGTTTCGGTTCAATTCATAAACATCGATAAGAAAAGTGGAACATTACGCATGAAAAGATGAATATTAATTCATCATATTATACACATACGAAATTGCATTGTTATTAAGATTGGAATCACATCAATGGAATCTAGCTATATCATCCTCGATCGTTCCCATTTCTTAACTTTAAGCAATAAAAAAAAGGATCGATTAATTGGATAAATTTGTTTTCTCCAATTAAAAAAAAAAAAAAAAAAAGTCAAAAGCATATCTATAATTACAGTTTATACGTCGTTGGTCGAATTTTTTTCCTGAAAAATAACTAAAAAAATTGACCCTAGCAAGCAGCTACTACTCGGCGATCGTGCTCAAGTTAGCCGTAAATCGCCTCTTCCCTTTCCCGCAACCTCTTCCTCCACCACCGTTCGTCTTCACTCCGGCGATGTTTCTCCTTTGGTAAGTTTTTTCCGAAACCGATACATCTCCGTCGCCGGAAACCCAACCGACTCCGCCGCTCTTGGTCAACGCGGAACTAGCTTTAACAGCCAAGGCCGCCATTTCCTCCGCCCTTAACGGATGGTTGAGCCACGTTAGAGGTAAAACGAAGTAAAGCTGTCCTGACCGGAGCTCCTCGTTGCCGGAGACAGCTGAGACGGCGTCGTCGAAATCCATTTCGTCGGAGTTACAGACGAAGCAGGTAGGATTCTTCTGCAAAATCTGCCAAACTTTGACCGGAGATGAGAACTCTTGTAAAGTACCGTCGAGCAGTATAAGCTTCGCTGAATCGCTCCTCAAAGATTCACGTGAAACGCACGCTCCCATTTTTTTTATCTCTTGGTTTGTTTTGACTTTAAAAACGTTTTTTAACTCGTGAGTTTAGCAAGAGAGAGATGCTTCAGATGCAGTTTGTGTTGTGTGTTTTGTGAGTTGTGAATATGAAAGAGACGACCTTGTGAGGAGTTTATATATACCAAGGGAAGCAGTAGAAGAAGACAGCATCGAGAATCTAAGTCCACGTCGGATGTGTCGTGTAGTGATAACAACTAAACATGACAGCTATCTCGATATATTTTTAAAAATTATTATTGTCAAAAAAGAACCATAACGTTGAGAACGGGAAAGAAGGAGAGGGAACGTGGCGGAGAATGAGAGAGGAAGGAGCATAGGTGGGTGAAGGAGGAAGGGACCACGTGGCAGACAGAGGCAGGACCGGCAAGCAGACAAGATTGAGTTGGCCGGAGGTTTAGCGTCACCGGTGGGTTAGATCTCACGTGAAGACAATAGAGACTTCTCTGAGCCCTACCTCTGACGATATCATGTGTGATTATAGATTCTTTTTTTGGACGGACCCTTTTGGTAGATACAAGAGTCACCTACCTTCATTTTTTTATTACTACTTTCTCTTACAAAGTTTTGATTTTTGCATGAATGTGGCATTTATTATGAAAATCTCCAACATTATTGAGTCTCTCTAATACTTGTATATTTCTATGTTGAACTTGGACGGTATGGAAATAGCTGTATAGAATTCTAAAGGTTTGTATTTTGTGTTTACGAGATATTATAAGCTTACTTTAGTGATCTCATTCAGACTTATTAGTTGAAGCGTATCGTCTTTCTTTTTGAGCTAACTAAAAATGTGGACTTATCACACTTTAAAATAAATATAACATTTGCTCTATTATTAAAGCTTTATAAAGTATACTATATACGTAAAATATCTTCTTCTTTTGGTTTTGGTCGACAAGTTAAATATCTAATTTCCCTACCACTTTATATACTTTCTGATTATATTACATCATATAATAGAGTAGCTCAAAGTCTCCAACCAATTATTTTTACTCAAAAAGAAATATCTTTTCATAAACTTTTTTTTGTTTGTTTGTTTGCTTCCTTAGGTTTTTATGGGACTTGAATGAGCCACGTCTCCGGACATGTCTAATTTATGGATGTCATATTTTGTTAACTATTTAAACCTCTGTGCGATGTTTATAGCTTTTGCTTTTTCTTTGACATCAAGTCTCAAACTCGTCCCAAGTTTCTATAACCATTAATTATAGTATTTGGTAATATAAAAACTTTGTTCGTCAGGTCTGGTGGATATTAATCTGCCACGGTAATGACAAAACACAAATAAGGCCAAACAATAGTTATTCCATGAGGTGAAACTAGGCAATAATACAATTTTGCTTACGACGATTAGTTGAATACCCATTTATTATATGTCACGAGGCATAGTTTTGTTGCTATTTGAAGTTAATATTCTTGTTTTGGTAATTCATTCGGAATTCTTTGTCACTGTCTTAATATTCTTTTTTTTTAATGAAACTGATCGGACGTTATCCGTTAAAATCGAATTTAATTTGATACAAAACAATAGCGATTTTGGATTATAAGAACGAAACATGGTGATTAGTTGGCACTAACATGTACACGCTTATATAATCTACTCTAATGTTACATGATCTATAAAATTTTGGCCGAGTGAATGTAAGATTTGTACTCAAAATACATTGCGATGAATCCGATCTCTCTAATGTATAAATAAAAAAACAGAATTATATATGTCCCCAAGAAGATAAAAAATAACGTAAGCAAATTATACTAATGTAGATGACAGTGTGGTTTAATCGTTTGTTACTTAAGAGAGAATCTGTCTGCGATCTGTAGTTGTTATGTGCTGTGTCCCACGCCAACGTAATTGTCTGTGTTCTTTCATGTTTCGAGATGCAAGACCAAACACAGACCATTCTATTTAATTTTATAACTAGTTTAAACACTGTTTTGTTTATTAGTATATTCACACCCCATGCACATTAATTACAGCTTAATGAGCAACATGATTACACTAAATTATTCTCATGAGATATTCAACATTCTTAATTCCAACTTGCTATTCGCCCATTAAAATAGATATATATATCTATAATATATCACACAGAAGTGCCATACAATCCAGGGATTGTATAATATTTGTTTATCATCAAATTGAGTTTTATCTATCTACACAGAAGATGAGCTTTAATTGTAAAACTTCTATATTTTCAAACTGGAGTTCCAAAGAAAAAAAACACATGAATACAACTTTTCCAACCGACTGAATTTTACGATTTGACTATCAATAAGAAAGCCCATCATGTTTGGGACTGATGCTAACATGATTTAAGGCCCAAACATTGTATAATGTAGACTTTATTAACGCCCCATCGGATATATATCATACTCAGCCTTGTTCTGCTATAAAAAGCTCATCATCAATTCATCATCACCTTCAAAAACAGACTCATCTCAAACTGTTGCTTCACAACTTTCCTTTCCAATATACTCTTAAAACCAGACCCCTTTTTTTGTTTGCAACGAACAATTTATGCTTTTTTCGCATCATAGACCATAAAGATTAAAATTGGTACTGACTTTAGGATGAAGGACATGGATATACAGAAAATTCAAGAGGATCTTTAGGCATGTGCATTTTTTTTTTTATAAGAGAGATAAACGAAGAAAGCATCAAAAGATGTTGTCGATCATTATCATCAAACACAATCAACAGATATATAAAAACATGATCACTCAAGTTGACCGTACCACACCCCTTGGATCTTCACATCCTTTGGTACCTTAGCACCCAAGTCAGTATCTGACGGCTGAAGACTCTCGAACACTCCGATCACCTCTCCTGTCTCCGGCTTGCTCTTCGTCACTTTCAGAGTGATCTCTCCAACCGAAGCTGCTGTGTTCTTCACGTTCTCCTTTACTAGTTCCTCCTCGTCTCCCCTGCCTCCAGCTGGCAATGCCACAGCGTTGTCATATCCTGTGGATCCACCACGGCCCTTTGGGTCCAAGAAGGAAGAACCACGGTACGATGGAACCAAGAATTTCCCGGTGAAGCTGTCTGGTTTGCCTGAGGCGTCCAGCTGTTTGACTGTGAAGAGGAATGGCACACGCTCGCCTCCTGGGAGCTGAACAGTAACTGCAGCGTAGTCGATTCCATCTTCTTCCTTGAAGTTGACGCTTCCGTCTGAAGCAACCTACTCGAAACAAATAAAAGAGACGATCAATCACAAATCGTAACCCTGAGCACACAGTTTCTTGCGGTATAAACAAAGACGCAACAAAAATGAAACCTCGAAGGGTCCTTCGATCTCGTCAAGGGTGTAGGTGAGACGGGTCATGAGCTTCGTGTTCTGGAACTCAGGAGGTGCGTTCTTGCTCACGCTCTCTGCCTTGACAGTGAATGAAGTAGGCTCGAAGCAGAACTTCTTGCCAGCGTACTTTCCGGGCTTGAATGAGAATGTCTCAGAGCCACCGTCGATAGTTGGGCACTGGTTAGCGGTTCCAGTTCCTTTCACTTCCATGTATGTCTTGCTCTGAATCTCATCGTAGGTCAGTCTCTTCGGAGCTCCCTCTGCACTTGCTCCCTGCATTACAGGAGAAACATACAGCTTTTAAGTCAAGTGATCCAACAAGACTGAGTCGAAGATTACAAGAACTGGAATAGCGGTTTCTCGTTCTACTACGCTAATCCGAATCAGTTATTGGTTTAGGTGTTCTGCTCCGTTTTCAGTTTAATATAAATTAATGTATACATAGTAATGCAAATCAGAGTTATGCTATATGAAACACAAAAGAAAATTCTTCCCAGTTACTCAATTCCTCTCTGTTTCTTGATTAGTCTATAGTTCATAATGATCTTTATCGAAGAATCTGTGAGAGAGGAGAGTAGGTGATTCGAGAAAGTTACCGAGACAACGAGAGCAGAGGTGGCAAGAGCGAATCCGGCAATTTTTACAGCGTCGGAGCATTTTCCGGCCAAGTCCTTGAAGTCAGACTGGAAGGAGCAAGTGAGGCGAGCAGAAGAAGTTTCTAGCCCGAAAGATTTGCCGACGGTCTGAGTGGACCGGAGGTGAGCACTGCCGCGAGAAGGAGCGGTGGAGATCTTCGCCGACTGGAGGAATGTGGCGGCGGATTGGAGAGAGGCTGCCATGGCCACAAAGTGTCTCAGATGGTTTTTGAGATTTTGTTTTGTGATCCAAAGCTGTGAGCAAAGTAAAGACTAAAGAGTAATAATCAGAAGGCTGAGATAAGATTGGGATAAGGCGAGGATTTTGATTGGTTTGCTTCGTGGGAATCGGAGTGTCTGGTTTTATTTGTTGCCACGTGTCGGAATATGAAGTGGAGATATGGATACTGTCTCAGTCAGGGATGCTGACGTGGAATATATAACATGATATAAAAAATGGTTGTGAAAAAATAAAAGATGGCCCATGCAGGTTTCGAACCTGCGACCTTCGCGTTATTAGCACGACGCTCTAACCAACTGAGCTAATGGGCCGTTGATGCACATATTAGTAGAGTAAGTAAGTTTTCTCAAAACAAGTTTTACTTTAGAAGGCTTCAAAATAGATACAAATGGCTAAAGCCCACTAGTTAGTTCTTTCATTCGTTTTGTCGTCCATAGTCCAGAATCCAGATGATCTTCAACTAAACGTATACGTTTGGTCCACATATATAGGCTAACATCAAGGATCCTTTAATTTAATTAGGGCCTGAATCGAATTGAATAGAATATGAGAATCACACTTCATCTGTTCATCATCATATGTAAAGGTTGCATCATACGGTAGGTGTTGTATCAGCATTTGAGGTTGAATGTAGATTATCATACTCATCCAAAGACACACATGGGTCATTGGTCACAGTTAGCTTTCAACATTGGTTATATATTTACTATTAAGAACAAGTTCTGACACCGTAGAACCAGTCTTTAGGTAAAATATTTCTTTTGAGGTTCACAAGTTTAGTGTATTTAGTGTATTTCGTTGTGTCACACTTTTACATTGTCAAAATGGTTAATCTGAGTTATGAGCAATACTAGTTAAGCTGATTTGGTCCTGATTGGTTGACATAAGTATACGTAGTCTTTCTTTTAGAGTCTTCGTAGTGGAATAATATCTCCAGCTTAGACTCTCATCATAGAGAATCAGAATTTAGTCTCTTCGAAAATTAGATAGATTGGTAAAATGAGAATTTCAGAATACTAATTAAATCACTTGCTCTGCAAATATAAATAAGGCAGAAGGCACTCAGAATGAGTAGGAGGTATAGATTCATCAAAATGAATCAGATGACAATAAACAATCCTCATTGTGCCTTTTTTACTTCTTCTTAAATCATTTTTTTTTAAATGAAAACAAAGTAAGGAGTTGTAAAAAGGATTTCTCTCAGACAAATGCCTCGTTTTGTCCCCATGATTTTATGAATGGATTTCATCGGACTCGTCATCTATTTGTTCTTCATCACAGAGAAAGCCTTTTTATTTTCTAAATCTAAAACAAAGAAAAAGAGAAAGAGCAAATCCTAATAATACTAGCTAGAAAGAAATAAAGCAAAACCCTCTCAGACAAATGCCTCGTTTGTCCCCACGATTTAATGAATGGATTTCATCGGACTCGTCATCTATTCTTCTTCATCACTGAGGATTTTATTTTCTTCAAACGATAAAAAAGTTTCTTAGCTCTAAGAACAAAAATCGAATAGCCAATACCGATTAAGACGAAACTAAACGATAAACAAGTAAGAAGAAGGGACAAAGGACAAATAACTAAATCTACCAAAACCGAGGAAATTTGCAGCAAGAGAGAGAGAGAGATTAAGATTTTCTTAAGGAACTCGAATTGTACTCAATGCTTTGGCTTTGGCGGAAGCCAATCTATTTTATAGCCAAAAAAAAAAAAGAAGAAGAAGAGAAGTAGGGTTTTTAGAAAAGGAACTCTCCTTTAGTAAAACGACATGAAGTCCTACTCTAAATAAATCTGAACAGCGAGTAGTCTCTAACTCTTTCCATTTAAACGGGGGGAGCCTTAACTTTTGAAACAATCTCTCCAGAGCAATTTGTTAACCTCACCGACTGAAACCCATACTTGCGGCCCAGTTTCAGATAGTTGATAATTGGGCCTTGTGTACATGTCATCGTCACAGCCCAGTTCATTTGTGCACGTGTAATGGGTAAATATATTATGTGTGGGCTTTGGGCCTTGTCAATTACTATTTCGAGTTTATTTCAGTCATAAAAGCGAAACCCACAAGTCAAAAACGATTGTGGAGAGAAATCTCACGAAGGATTTAATAAAATAAAATAAAAAAACTAAACTCCAAGAATCACAATAATAATATGCTTTCGTACTCAATTTAAGAACGTCGTGATCTATGATCAACCATCGTGGCCTCGTGTGAATCGCAGACCTGTGTCTTGAATTTACATCCCAGTTTTTTCGTTATGGACCAACTTCTCGGCCGATCAGTCCTCGTCGTCCCCGGTGATGATTCTTCTTTATCAATCTTCGCGATCACTTTCTTCATGTTCGAACACTCCCTCTCTAACCGGTGAACACGCGTCCTCATCGTATCCATATCCAAGCGAAGCACCTGATTCTCTCTCACCGTCTTCTTCCATTTCCCTGCGTCCACCACCTGTCCCTCTCCCCTCGTCTCCTCTTCCGTTATCGCTAGATTCCTTATTGCTGTCGCTGACGCTCGCGGCTCCGTTGACTGTGACGGAGACGGCGATTGTGCCGCTAGTAACGTCCCCGCGATCGCGTGCCGGAGCTGTAACTGCTCGAAGAAGAGGACTTGTACGACGGCTCTTAGCGGAAGCCGCTCGTTTTGCGCGGCGTGTGTGCATGCTTCCAGCGTCAGTTTTTGACAATCCATCACGCCGCATATCTTCTCCCTCTCTGTTTCCGATACCCATGGATGCGCCTTTATATATGCACCAAAAAAAAAATTATATATATATATATATATATATAGTTTTAACACAAATTCAGATCCAGTACTCAGATCTCCGAGATGAATGTTATGTAGATCACCTTGAGATAAACGTCGACGGCTCTGTAAAGTCCGTCATCGTAGAGTCGAGCTTGATCGGGGAGTGAGATGGCTAGATTGTAAAATTTATCCGATTTGAGATTAGCGTCGGATGCGATCTCCGCGAGAAATCCATCGATTAGTTTCCCGACGAGCATTAGCGACGGTGATCGTCCATCAGCTTCGACTATGGCGGTGTGTGATTGTTCCAAGGTGTCGAGAAAGTGACCTAAGATTCTCTCTACCAAATCGACATCGTACAATGTCTCATTGAGGTATGAGTAACTCGGGACAAGCAAATCGTCGAGCGTGGCTCGCTCTAGCTGCGATCCGATCTTTCTCTCAAGCAGATCACGGCAAGTCTCGGAGGCGTTGAGGATGATGGCGGTTCGTAATAAGCCAAAGAGGAATCTCGTGGTCGAAGAGATGGAGCTTTTATCTAATGGAAGATTAGAGGTTATCATCTCTAGGAGTTCTCTCTGTTGGTTCTCTGAAACTGCTGTTGAAGATGACGATGGCGGTTTCCGGTTAGAACGTAAAATTCCGGGAATGTGCTTCTTAGCGTAACAAATCAAAGAGCTCTCTATGATATCGGAGCTCAGATCTCTTGATCTCATTGATAGGATCAATGTTGTGAAGATCGGAAGGCTCAGTTGCGATAGATCTTCAAACCACAGCTCCATGCTCGAATCTCCACCCGGTTTCTTTCGAGATTTCGTGGCGCCGCCGGGGATAAGCTGCAGATCGGCGCCTTGGCCTCCGCCGCCGTCGTTTACAGGCCATCCGAACAGTGAGGGATCAGCTGAGGAAGCTCTGGAGATGATGGACTCAATGCACTGTTCAGTAATACCAAGTGATTCGGATAAAGCTGAGACTGACTCGCACGCTTTGAGAGCTTTAATGGATTCTCGTAAGCTCTTGTAGACGGAATGAGAGAGAAACCTCTCGGTCTTGGAAATTAAGTTGTCAGGAGAATACTCTTCCGTCATTTCCAGGTGTTGGGCGGCGCAACGAAGAGGAACAACAGTGGAAGCAGAGAGGTCCATCTTGACGCCATAGCAGAACTTGGCAACCATTTCGAAGCTCTCTGAACTCCCGGGAAAGTCGTCGAGTTTGATGTGAGGATAGCCAGTTTCTTCCATGTCTTGCTCTTCTTCTTTTTCTTCATCGTCATCCTCGATTTCGTGGCCTTTACCTTTCTTGTCAGTATCTTCTAGTATGACTTTTGGGTCCGTTACAGTAAGAGCCATGGAACAAGATCTAGTCTCTTGCTCTGTGATCAACCTGTGAAGTCTCCTGCTCTTGGACATGAGAGGAAACTGGGAAAGCCACAAGCAACAACAAACAAAATTAGAAAGAAAGTGAGCGGAGAAGATGAAAGAAGAAGACAAATCAAAGACGTTTAGTGACCTTATGGAGATGGAATGTCATGTCATCAACTTCGATTTCAATGTCGCTAGGTAAGCCAGTCGTACAAAACCTGCATCAATACGATAATTTTTTTTAAAAATTAATTAAAAAAGAAAGAAGTTAATTAGAGAGAATAAAAAAATAAGTGTTGGCTATGTCTTCACCATGCTTGACCCTTGGAGCTGGATTTCTCTGACGCCATTAATGGAGACAACAACAAAGAAACTCTGAGTCTGAGAGGAAAAGAAAGCTCAGAAGAAACCAAAGAGCCAATCTCTTTCTAAAGAAGGAATATGGAGAGAGAGAGAGAGAACAAGAGGAGAGGGTAAAGGGGGAAGGAATTGGAATCCTAAATCATGAGAAAGAGACACTTTTAATAAAACATTATTATTCGGATTTCGAAAAAGGGGATCTCGTTTTTTCTTCTCTTTAGTTTTTTTTTTTTAATTTAGTCTTATATAGTTGGAGAACAGCAAGAATCTCAACTACTGATACTCTCAAGACGACACATTTTCAAATAGATAAATTACACTTTGGGAGAAGCAAAATCCCACTCATTTGTTAATCATTTACTATAAATTCATAATCTAGTTTTATTAAAAATTACACAGCCCCTCTTGTGTTTTGCTTCCTTCTACTATTCCTGTGAAATGCATTATTTGAACTGATATGGCACAATCATATCCGTATTTGATTGGTTTTTATGATCTTTTATATAAAAAAAAAAAAGAGATTGATAAAATCATCAAAACTAAGCAAGGACGAACCTGCTTCTGTTTAATTTAGAGAGAAATTAAGTGGCAGACATATTATGTAAATTGTTATTATTAATTCATATGTCTCACCTAATCCTGAAAATTTTTGGGAAAATTTAACGTTTAGGGAGCCCACGTGGATTGCAAGTGAGGACATTAAATGTTTTTCTTTTTCTTTCTTTCTTCTCCATATATGAAAAATTTATTGCAATATTTTACAGATGTAAAGTGAGAGAGAAGCGAGAGAAAAGAAAAAGGTATTTGCAACTTTCAATGCATTGATTTGTTCATCCACAGTATCTAAAACACCATTCAAAAATAAAATCGAATTTATTATAAATAAAAAAATTTGAATGTGGAAGCAAACAATACGGTGGCTCTGTGTTTATTATTTGTAGACCCCTCTCTTTTCTAAAAAAATTGATTGTTACAAACATTTCCTTTCATGTTTTTAATGCCTATACCTCCTGTATATATACAGTATATACTGTATTTGTTCATGTAATCATCACTGTGTAAATCTTTACTTGTATGTTTACTTGTTTAGAGTCAAGATGCAAGATACATACGTCTTCTACTATTATGTAACTTTTCAGTTGTAATATTTTCAATGTTTTGCCCTTTTACATACATACTTGTGAAAGAATATCAAAATCAAAGTATATACTGGACTTCTTTTCTTGTAACATTCTTTTTTTGTATTTAGTATTCCTTTTTTTTTTCAGCCGAAAAACATGTGGTGTATTCTTGATCTCTTTAAGCATGGATGCAATATCTTGGACTTCATCTATTAATAGCTCTCACTAGACAACAACAAGAGAAAAACAATCAAAGTAAAAAAAAAAAACAAAAAAAAAAAAAAAACAATCAAAGTAAAGAGTAGACTTTGCCAATAGAAACTTACAAAGTCATTTCATTTTATTTTCTTTCTTCTCTTTTGCTTTATCTTATTCCTTACGTTCTCACGTGTTATGTGAAAAAGATCATGTTGGCTTCTAAAGTTACGAAGACTTAAACATTAGTGGTTTCATTTCATATTCACCCACACATCGTCTTGTCCATTCCAATTTTTTAACACCATTAAACATAAGTTAACATGCATATACGTTTATCAGTTATTTCCATGACTGCGTAATATCTAGCAGAAACAAACGCATACCAATCATACGAATTCTCGTTTTTGTGTGGCTGTGTGTTGAGTATCCTTAATTTGACATACACTTACATCACAAAGACTCAAACTACTAGTCTAGTGTAGTAGCTCTCCAATTTAATCAAACCTTTTTTGATATTCAATAAACGGTCAACAAAATTCCTACAAACTCCAAAGTAGCAAACATAAATGACAGAATATAAAATCTATGGGTACGAATGTTTCCCTTCTCCAGAGGCTGCTTGTGCTTAGTTGATTTTTATTTTTTTGCTTTTGGACTGTACGTAGACTCCGAAAAGAGCCTTAAATGCTTATCCTCTTTTCCATGAATTCATACGTAATCTAACAGCACTTGAATGAATCGAATTGACAAATCATATTTTGTAAAAAATTTATCAAGGAAATCGTTGGTTTCAGAAAAATATGCAACTGCGTCTTTGTTGTTAACATGAAACAGTCCGACCATTCTCATTTGGCGGCTGTTTCGCAGCAAAACGGTAAACCACAACACCGATTCGAGAGCCTTGTTGAGGAACATCAGAGTGTATAACTTGGACATGGAAGAGCTTCCGAGCTTTCTTGAAGAAGACGGATTCTTTCTTCCACCTCCTTAGATGAGCCATCAGGAATACTAACCTCTTCCCCTCTAACTGCATTGCCGCCGTCATCAAACGCAGCGTTTCCAGCAGAGGCTCGTAGAGATGGTCGTGGTACACCACGTCCGACGCCACAATCAAGTCAACGTCCCCACCTAGAACCTCCACGTCATCAGCTTCTCCCCAACGGACTGGCGCCACGTGGACTTTCCCGCCGAACCTCGCCACAACTTCAGCGTTCGCTTCGGCGTTGAAATTGAGATTGTCCAAGACGTGCGGGAGATCCGTCACCGTGACGTTCGCAGAGAGAGTGATTGCCGCAGCGATTCCGACGACGCCGGTTCCAGATCCGAGCTCGAGTATGTTCAGTGGAGATGATTTCGCCAGCGGCGAGAGTGTGGCGGTGAGCGGGCTGTTGCTTGGGTCAAGTCGGTAGTTATCCAGCAGCGTTACGAAACTAGAAGCGGCTGGCCAGAGCTGGAAGGAGAGACCCTGTGACGTCAGCTGACGGATCACGACCGTTGACTCGATGGACCTGATGTTGTACTGCTGGAACTCCCGTGCACCGTCAGGCAGAGGAGCAGGAGACAAACTCTCACTGTCCATACCATTCTCGCCTATGAGGAGCATCTTCGCTTCGTCTATGTCGCTTTCCTCGTCGTCGTCTTGGAAAGGAAAAGATGTCATGTTTTTTCTTTGCGGCGCCGATGTTGTCGCTCGCTTTCTTCACTTTCCATATTCGTTGTTTAGGGCACTTTCCATATTTGTTGATTTTTAGGGCTTTTTACACGTGGTGGTTTCTTATTCGCTGATAACAACTGTGTTCTCGCATCTGAGACCAAAAGCCTCTAGCGCTGACAGAGGTTTTAGAGCAAATAGCAAAAAAAACTTACACACGATGACATGCACACTAAGGTCTACTACATTGCAGAGTCTGAGATTTTTCCTCGCTATATTCTTTTCAAGTCTTGAAGAACATAATGCGCTGCATTTCTTCCTGGTGCGCCCATTACTCCGCCTCCAGGATGAGCTCCGCTGCCGCACAAGTAGAGACCTTTCAAAGGGCTTCTGTAATTCGACCTGTGTCACATTCCAACAAAGTTTTGAATCATAATCACAAATCGTAAAGACTGTTTGGAGTTGTGAGAGTCGCATACCATCCTTTCACTGGGCGCATCAAGAAGAGAGAGTCTAATCCCATGGCACCGTGAAAGATGTTTCCACCTGCAGAATACAAATGGGAAAAATATCAAATATGGTTTTGCCATATCCCATGTATTCATGATCTTTTTCTACATACTCAACTTATCATACCTGTTAGACCAATTTCCCGTTCTAGGTCAGGAGGAGTCAACATGTCGTAGCTAATGATGGATGAGCTAAACCCGGGTGCATATTCATCAATCAGTTTGAAACACCTTTGTGCAAATGCTTCCTTATTTTACACAATCAACAACAAACCCGAGCATGTGTTGTAAGGTTCAAGGAATGTATATTTGAGGAGGAACAGTAACGACGCTGCGCAAGAGTGTATAACTAACTAACTCGGTAAGTAGGATCTTCCCAGTTTCCGTCTGATGGCTTGTAAGGAGTGTATTGGATGAACAAGTTGATTACATGCTTCCCTATATACAAATTCACATTTAGAGTTCTAATCTTAAATAAGAAAATGGGGAGAATATGTGTACCTGGAGGAGATATGGTGTTGTCTAGTGTGGATGGAATAGTCATTTCGATCACTGGTCTTCTAGATGGTTGGCCGTTTTCAGAATCATGACATGCTGAGTGAACCTCGTCCATGCTGACAGAGCCCAAGATAGAACAGAGCCATTAATCACTTTCTTGGAGATACAAATAGTCATAAAATTAGCACATAGCCTACCTCTCCGCACCAATGTGTATAGTACCAAAGTGTTCCGGACCTGGACTCGAATGATTTGTGATGCAGCACTGGAACTGTGGTAACTTGTCAACAGCCAAGTTTATTTTGGTAGTTGCCTGTTCGCAACAATTATACAGCCAATCACCCGAAACTTAGCTAGCTGGTATGATTAAACCAAAAAAAACTATTTGGTCTAGAAAATGAGGGACTTAAACGACATAAAACACTTACAGAGCTGTAATCTGAGTGCTTAATAGCATCGACGAATTTTTCAGGAAGAACATTGGTTGGAACCAATTCCTGTTTGTTTACAGAAAGAACAACACATTAATTTGTTTGCAAACAACCCAACTTAGACTGACATATAGTGGGAGTTTTGAACTTAAAATTTATACCACATAAGTTCTGTAAGGGGTTGCATTGGACAATATAGCCGATGACTCCACCCGTGTACCATCAGCAAGCAAAACCTTATACCAGGTTATTTCATATGAGTTTGATTAAGTTTCACTTCATCCAAAAATCAATAAAGACAAACTAACCCCTTTCACGATGCTTGAATCCTCAGTTAGTATTTCAGAAACCTGGAAAGAAAATTAGAATTTACTTATACAGTAAGAGGGGATAAGAGATAATGATAACTAGAACTCCACTGTTCCGGTCAAAATGATCTGAAAACAAATACCTCTGCATTTGTGAAAATCTGAGCACCAGCTTCCTTTGCAGCATTGGCTATAGCCATGGAGACAGATCCCATCCCACCTTCAACATAACTGCAAATTATTTTCTTATTAGTTACTCAGGATAGCCAGGCCTTGTTTCATCAAAATATCATCTTGCGCTCTTCATTTTGACCTCACAAATACATGTTTATTAAAATCTGGTAAGAGAGTTCATTAAACTGCTTAGGTATCCTGACTTATGTAAAACATGCATCGATATTTCTACATTGCCGAATTATTTAGAGGAAAATACAAGTCAATAATCCAGAAACGTACGACCAAATGCCTTTCTCTCCATCTGTTTCTCCCATCACATGATGTAGGAGGACATATCCACTTCCCGGAGTATGGACACTAGCCTGTGTATCAATGTTCAGAGCACTACATTAACTCCCCAATATAGTATGAGTAGCTTTCTGAACGTACACTACAGATGCATTTCTCACCTTTTCAATTCCATTAGATTAATTATATGTCACGAAATGACTCGATTATAAGAACTTTTGGAACCTTAAGCTCAAGATATTAGGAAGGTTAATTACCGTAGATCCAATCACGGCATCTGTTGCAAGAGTCGCCTTCAGGACATCAGACTGCAAGAACAAGGCCAACACAAAACGTGTGTCAATACAACACCAAAACTAATTGCTGATGCTATTTGGAAGGCAAATAAGTGCTAAGATCAGAAAACCACCTCAAACCAGTTGTTCAAAACTTTTGAAGCTGGGGCCAATAACAAATCCATGAAGTCCCTTCAAGAATATTACCGCATTAAGGAACATTCTGATTAAAGGATGCAGACTTTCTATGATAAAATTCAACAAACCGCAGTACTTTAAAAAGCATCTAACTTTGAAGCAGTAAAAGATAACATAAAAACAAGTTAAATATTTATAAGATAGGAGATCATACACCATATCTTTTTGCCCCAAAGAAACTGCGTGCCGGAGACAACGAGCCCAGAAAGCAGATTTGTACATTTTATTGCGCAGCTTATCATTAATAGAAGAGGCACCTTGCAAAGATTCTGGGGGAGTTGCATCCAAAAGAGGATCCATAAATCCACAAAACCTCTCTAGCTGCTTCTCGTATCTGTCAAGCATAAAAAATAGAAGAAGAAGTTTTTAATGATTAAATTCCCAAATTAGCAAAATATTAGAAGAAGAAAAGAAAACCACCTTGGGTAAGCATCTGCGTCATGTTTGGAGAACTTGGAAATCTCAGAATGATTAAGCTCCTGATCAGGTCCAAGCAGAAGATAACGTCCATCCAAACAAGGTGTAAACGATGAAGGACTTCTCCTCAGAAGCTTCATTCCGTGTCTGCCTAGCTCTAATTCTCTTTGGAACCCAAAATCAAAAAATTATTCACAATCCCAGCAACTATCACAACAAATTCAAAAGACGAAAAAGAAGCTCAATCAAAGACCTAATGATGCAAGGGCGAAGTAGGCTCTGAAGGTAACTGCAGCGTGAAAACTTGAACCCAGGAACGATCTCCTCCGTCACTGCCGCCCCACCGATCACATGACGGCGCTCCAGAACAGCTACGGAGAGACCACCACGTGCTAGGTAAGCCGCGGCGGTTAATCCGTTGTGACCGCCGCCGATCACCACCGCGTCCCATTGTTTCTTCGGCAGTGTACTGAAGCTCCGGCGCCACATTGTAGTCTTCACAGGTCACACGTTTCAACTCAAATGTCAGTGTCACTCGTAGCTTCGTACTACTTGTTTTCTCTCTCACTTTCACCCAAATAGTTTCTACTATTTATTATATAGTCCTAGTAGTTGTCTGACTTATAAAATAGCTTCCACATTTTTCAGAAGTTTAAAGATAGTCCTCAGGTTATTTATGATTGCAACCCCTTTCTTAAACTTATTTACTTTATCCCCAATAGTTTTGATAATTTATAAAATAGTCCATAAAGTTCTACTGTGTTACATACTACGTCAATAAATTTGAGAGTTTTAAAAATAGTCCCAAGTACCTTACTTTTTAAGAAACTAAAAATGGACAGGTAGCTAGAAAGCCTAAATCCATGAGAAAGTAGCTAGATAGCCTACTTCCACGTAGCTAGATAGCCTACTTCCATGTGAAACGTTTGGTTATGATTTGATGAATTGCCTAAAAAAAGTTACTACAAAATAACCAACAACAATATGTAAAATGATTATTGAATATTAAAACAAAAAATAAAGAATATAAACTGATGATTTGAAATATGCCTAACAAAATTATGTAGTTTTAATTATAGAAGAAAATGTTTGATTATTTATACCACACTAATTCACTAATTTCTTTAAAATTTGATTAGAGACCTAAGACCTTTAAAATTTTAAAATTTGATTAATATCGCTAGTGATGCTATTCATGTTACCCATTTCTATGTTTAATAGATTGCTAAGAGAGATTCTCGTCAATTTTCTCTTACAACTTCCTCTTACGTTCTCTGCATTTGGCTATTTGTTATCCTAGATGTGTTAAGTGTTAGCCTTTCCTATTCTGAGTGATACTTAACTATAATTTCTCCATGCCATCCTACTAAACTGCTTCTGAAACTCTTTTTTTTTTTCCCAGTGTCGAGGCACCGGACACTCATGAATGTTTTTGACAAATCCCCTAGTGTGGATAAAGGGGCTTTTGTGGCTCCTAACGCTTCTATCACTGGTGATGTCCATGTCGGACGAGGTTCTTCCATTTGGTATGGATGTGTCTTGAGAGGTATAAGCTTCTGTAGCATCTGAAAATGTTGACTCATTTGTGCTTTCATTGAAAGGAGAAGCACCCTTTTATGTCAGACATGTGCATAGAATTAAAAACTTACTCTGCAGGAGATGCTAACAGCATTAGTGTTGGAGCTGGCACCAATATCCAGGACAACGCTCTTGTCCACGTTGCTAAGTCCAACTTAAGCGGGAAGGTCTTACCTACCGTCATTGGAAACAATGTCACTGTTGGTAAATTCTCTATACAATCTCTGTCACAAAACTCAAGTGTGAATTTTATTGCCTACTTTCATTGCGCATGTGCAAAAAGTTTTTGTGCATATGCCAAAGTTTCCATTTTCTAGCCAAAGTTACCATTTTCTAGCCAAAATTTCCAAAAATAATTTTTGACTTTGCCAGGGTAATTTAAAGCATGTAATAAATTCATTGCGAATTAAATAATTGCTAAGAATCCTTACAAAAAATATTCGTGGATATGAATTATTGAAAAGAATATGAAGAAGACATTTTTTCTTACAAAAAATTGTGCATATACCACATGTTCCATTTTCTAGCCAAACTACCATTTTCTAGCCAAAGTTTCCAAAAATAGTTTTTAACTTTATTAGGATAATTTAATGCATATAATAAATGTATAGAGCATTCAACGTTTGCTAAGATTCCTTACAATAATTCTAGTAGATTTGAATGATTGAAAAGAAAAAAAGAAGAAGAAAAAGTTGAAGTTACATTCCTCGTAACCGGAAGAGCCGAGTGGACATGGTCAAATTTTTTTTCCAGTGTTTGTTAGTTTTTGCACTTTTCCCATGCTCACTATTCCGCTTAGAGCATAACACCAAGATGACGACGAAGACGATGGAGAGAGGATTTAAGGTTTTTCTCTATATTTCTTTTTGTTTTTGTTTTTGTATAAGAAGAGAATTGAAACGTTTAATCACTAACTGGAATGCAAACATATTCTCTCAAACGTGAAGCTGATTTTGGGTTCTCAGTCCATGGCGAGAAAGAGGATTCTAGCTGAGATGGGATATGAGTACACCATTGTGGTATGTTTTTCTTTATATATGTTTATGGAGGTTTTGATTAATTTGTTTGCTGGGGATTGTACGTAAATTAAGGTTGGCTTGGGATTTTCATGGTTCAAGACTGCAGACATTGATGAAAAAGCTATTAGGACAGACAAGCCTGAAGATTTAGTTGTGGCTCTTGCTGAAGCCAAGGTAATATTCTAAGCTATCTAGGGTTTTGTAACTAGTTCATATCTTCTAAACTAATGTATTCTAGTTACCCTTTTTTTTTGGGTAAAATATTATACTTACCATTTTCGTGATGGTAAATTCTATTTGACTAGGCAAATGAGATTATATCGAAATTGGGAGGTGAAAGCCACTTTGCACAAGATCCTCAACCAACTATACTAATTACTGCAGACACGGTAAGCTATAATGCCTCAACATTTTTGGATTAGTATTTGTCGTGTGATTTTTTTTTTTAAATTATCTATCTTGCTGATGATGTTATGGTGATGGAGTTTCTTAGGTTGTTGTGTACAAAAGTGTCATTAGAGAGAAACCAATCAATAAAGAAGAGGCTCGTGAATTTATCAAAGGTTTTGTGCAAGTTGATTGATTTTAGGTTTTGTGCAAGTTGATAGATTTTAGGTGTTCTATGATACGAGAGCCACTTATGATTAAGAGTTGTGTTTGAAATCTACACAGGCTATTCTGGGTCACATGAAGGTGTTGTGGGATCTGTTTTTGTATGGAATTTGAAAACTGGAGTTAAAATAGGAGGATGGGACAAAGCAGAGGTACTTAACACACAAGTTTTTTTTTTTTTTGTAGATTCCAGTTTCTCCTTCTCTTTGCTCAACTTTTTGTTGTTGTTTCTTTTGTCTAACTTAGATTCCAATTTATCATTCTCTTTGCTAAACTTTTTGTTGTTGTTTCTTTTGTCCAACTTAGTTTCCAATTTTTCTTTCTCTTTGCTCAACTTTATGTTGTTGTTTCTTTTGCCCTACTTAGATTCCAATTTTTCCTTCTCTTTGCTCAACTTTTTGTTGTTTTTTCTTTTGTCAAAAATTTTTGTGGTAATGTGAATGTTGTTGTGATGCAGGTTTATTTCCATGAAATACCAGAACATGTCATCGAAGATCTTGTAAAACTCTTCAAAACACTAGTGCTTCTTACTATTGATCTATTGAACGTAGTTTGTTTTAACATATGTTCTTTGATATTTAGATTGATGATGCAATAACTTACACGGTTGCTGGAGGTGCGACGCTGGAGCATCCCCTTGTTTCACCCTTTGTCGATTATGTGGTTAGTGTCCTTGAAACAATGAGTTCTCGTGTTTGATATGTAACTCTTTAGTTCTTTTCTGTTTCAGCAGCATAAGAAGTTTTTTTTTGTAATGTTGTAGGTGGGAGGAGTTGATACTGTTATGGGGCTTCCCAAAGAACTCACAAAAAAATTCATCAACGATGTGTTGTTGTAGCTCAACCCCTTTTGATTTATGTAGGAAGAGCCCTTTTGATTTATGTAGAAAGGCTTAACTTAATACTTTAGAATCTCTAATCCATCAATCATTTATGTTGTAAGATTTACCGTATCATAATTCTAAGCATCGATGATATTTTCGGATTTCAAACTCTTATAAACAAACCAATTGGAATGTCTGAATTTTTGCAGTTTTAACAAGTTTTGAATTTGATTATAAGCAGACCAACGTGGGTTTTCTAATGTCTGAAACTCTGAAATCTAAATTCTGTATTGACATGGTTTAATAGCATTGATACTAAAAGGCCCAAATATTGACCCGGTTGAAATTCTCTGGCTGATGAAGAAGTTTCACTGGGGACTTTTCAAATCAGGCATCTTCAGGGTTTTTGAAGATACTCATTGAGGTTTCTCTTCTTCGTGTTCCTCTCCCAAAACCTAAACGCTGTTTAAAATACCTTTCTCACCGCCATCGATAAACCCTACTGGAACCCTAATTTATTGGGGGCTCTGAGGAAGCAACGATTTGATAAGTTTGGTTGCTTAATCTATGTCGATTGTAAAAGATTCGGGCTTTGAAGCCCTTGAGAAGCTTAAGTCAACTGAACCACCAGTTTTTCTTGCGCCAAGTTCAATATCTGAGGTGGCTCGTACTACATCTCAGTACCTATTCGAGAAGTTGAAGCCTTTCAACCCTAAATCTCCATTTGATCAGCTCTTGGTTGATGGGTTTGATGCGGAGCAGATTTGGCAGCAAATTGATATTCAGTGTCAACCGTTGTTGTCTAGCTTGCGGCAGGACGTTAAGAGATTTGCTCAAAACCCTAAAGAGATTCGTAAACTTGGGAATTTGGCCCTCAATGTTTCTCATGAAGATGATGTCGATGAGATGGATATGGATGGTTTTGACTCGGATGATGATGAGCTAGAAGCTACTGAAAGCGATGGAGATGAAGAAGAGGACGACGATGAGGAAGAAGAAGATGATGTAGAGGAAGATGAGGAGGAAAAGAGTGGAGACCATGAAGGAATAGAGGACAAGTTCTTCAAGATAAAAGAATTGGAGGAGTTTTTGGAGGAGGGTGAAGCAGAAGAGTATGGAATAGACTACAAAAACAAGAACGGGGTTGCAAAGAGAAAGAAACAAAATTTGCGCGATGATGATGAAGAAGAAGATGATGAGGAGGACGAGGATGAAGAAGAAGATGATGAGGTAAGCACATACCTCAGTGTTCAAGAATATTAAGTGGAATGGTTGATTACCATTAGCTTAGTTTTTCTCTCGATTGATCTTTTAATATTCTCGTCCTCTAGTTTGGTGCTTTTGCTGGTGGGGATGACGAAGAGGCAGATAAATTAGGCAAGGCAAGGTATGGTCTCTATGCTCTCTAATTAGACAATACACATACCACTTTGTATTCCAATCAGTTGCACTTTTTTTCCTTGGGTTTGGAGCAGTATCGCTGTCGATTTGTTCTAAGAGTTTTTTTCCTTGTCAATGATAATTAGGTATGATGATTTCTTCGGCGGCAAAAAGAAGGAGACAAAAATGAAGTTGAAAGACTTAAGTGAAGATGATGAAGCTGAAATAGAAAACCAAGTACTGTGATGCGTAACTTATTCATGGCATTGTGATATGTACTAACTTCATTTCTAATTCATGAACTAAATTTTCTTCCTTTAGGGTGATGTAAAGCTCTCTACCCATGAAAAAGAACGAATAAAGCTTCAATCCAAGATTGAACGGATGGAGAAAGCAAACTTAGATGCTAAACACTGGACAATGCAGGGAGAGGTAGCCAGCCATGTTTTTTCTGACGTTTACTGTAAAATAAGAACCTAGCTTTCTGTAACAACATTTTTGGATGGTTTTTCTTATTAAAAGATAACTGCTGCAAAGAGGCCAAAGAACAGTGCTTTAGAAGTTGATTTAGATTTTGAGCACAATGCCAGGCCTGCTCCTGTAATCACAGAAGAGGTCACAGCCTCACTTGAAGATTTGATCAAGAGCAGAATCATTGAGGTAACACTTGTGACTTGTGGCAGTAAAAATTTAACAAAGGCCTCCTTTCTTCTCTCCCCTTTTGCATAACTGATCTTGTGACTTCTTAGGCTCGTTTTGATGATGTTCAACGAGCAGCAAGTATGCCCACTAAAGCAAAAAGAGAAGCCAAGGAAATGGTGAGTTTTATTGAAGAACTATTATCTCTGCCCTTTTTTTTTTGCTCTGGTTTAATAGTTGATGACTAATAGTACTTTGTTACTTTTGTGAATATGCAGGACGATAGCAAAAGCAAGAAAGGTCTTGCCGAAGTTTACGAGGTTTGTATGACTTACATTATTTGATTGCTATTTCGTTTTTTTTGAGAGATAACCAAACTTACAAATGTTATGTTTGTTTATTTGTAGGACGAATATGTTCGGCAGGCTAATCCCACTTTTGCCCCGACAACTTTCTCTGATGAACTAAAGAAAGAGGTTCCAACTTGATTTGATTCTTATGCTTCTTGGGTTTTTGTGATTACCTATCTGTCTTCTTCTTTCAATGTCAGTCTCTATATCACATACTCTTACTTATAAATGTTAAATCAGGCAAGCATGCTGTTCAAGAGACTATGCCTGAAGTTGGATTCTCTCTCCCACTTCCACTTCACACCTAAACCGGTATGTATATCGCTTAGATCCGAAATGATTATCACCTCGTGTGTTTAAATATTGCTGCTCTGGACTTAACTAATTTCTGTTTTTTTCCCCCAAAATTTTTCAGGTGATTGAAGAAATGTCTATACAAACAAATGTCCCGGCCATAGCAATGGAAGAGGTAATTCAGTTGTTTTCTCAAATCCTTCCTTTATTTGTTAGGGAATTGGGATCGGGGCACCATCATACTTAGCAACTTCTTCCATGTGTACTGCGTAGGTTGCGCCTGTGGCAGTCTCAGATGCGGCAATGCTTGCCCCAGAGGAGATATTTTCCGGGAAAGGTGACATTAAGGATGAGTCTGAGCTTACACAGGAAGAGAAAAAGAGAAGGAGGGCTAAGAAGAAGAGAAAGTTTAAGGGTAAGGATGTGAATAATAAAGAGGATACTCAATTTTGGTAAAAGCACAAAATCTGACTGCTTCTTGTTGCATATTAGACCCATAAACTCTTCGCTTTTCACTTTTGAATCAGCTGAATCTGCAAAAGAACCAGCGAAAAAAGCGCGGGATGATACTACCGAAAACCCTAAAACTGGTATTTTTCTGTGCTCCTACATGACTTTTAGATTGTTGAGAATATTTGAAATTAGGAAATAATTTAACGTTGGTTACGCTTACGAAGTTACAGGCAGTGAAGAAGGGTGAAGAAAGGAGAGAGTTACAGAGACAAAATGAAGATGAGGAGATTTCAGGCAAGAGCATTGCTACATGATACAGTATGTGAAAAATCTAAACACAGACAGCTTCAAGATTAGATACAACAAGAGTTTTGGATGGGAGAAAATAGATAAACTTTTTACCGGTATAAGGAAAGGCGAGAGATAGTGTTCGAATCAGTGACTTGTCTTGCCGACATTTGAGTTTGATTGTATCTTATGCGGTTTTGTCATATACTTTGATATGAGTAGCTTTTCTTTCTTTTAATTGATGAGAAAAAAATCCGTAACTCCCAATACCAAAGCAACTCTAATTCAAGCTGCTGGAACTGAAAACAAATGAAAAAATATATATCTAATAGCTTCAAATTCTAAGATAACTAGAGTGCTGGAGTTGGAAAAGAATAACAATCGATTTTGCAGAATGAGTCACTGCGTAGTTGGAAAGAGGTTTCTTTGGAGATCCTCCATTGGCTGGCCATATATGAAGTTTCTGGTGATAAATTAATAATACGTGTCATAGAAATCACTTAGCTGGAGTAGCTCAGTTGGTTAGAGCGTGTGGCTGTTAACCACAAGGTCAGAGGTTCGACCCCTCTCTCTAGCGTCTTTTTGCAGTTTGGGCCGTGCCTTTGTAGTTATCGGGCCAGACACTTTCTTAATTTTTTGTATAAGTTAAGTTCTGGACTCGGATGGGATTGGGGGGGATATTCGTCAATCCAAAAACGAGATTCTGAAGCGGTCAACGTTGAACATTTGGGTCATTTGAAGAGCCGTTTCCTCCTCTGTGTGTGTGTGATGTATAAAAAAATGTCTGTCGTCATTATAGTTTTGCTGGGTTTATTCAATCTCATCGACCCAATCAATCAACAATACAAGATAGAGAGTGACTGAAGGAGAGACAAACATGGCGTCTGTTTCCGTCTCTAACTCTTTTCTCACTTTCAGTTCTCCCATTCAGCTCCGAATCACTCGGTAATTGACTCTGCATTCTTCTTATTTCGCAATCTGATCTTGATTTCAAAAACAAAAAAAATCTGATCTTGAATATTTGCAGAAGGAGAGTCTCTGCCATGGCTACTGGAGTGAGAGTCGCAGAAGGACAAGGCAATTTGCCAAAACTTGTCCTCACTTCTCCCCAGAAGAGGTATGCAATAACTACTCGCCATCTCTCGCTGCCTGCCTCATAGTAGTAAGTAATTCATCAATTTGTTGGATGCAGTGAGGCTGAGATATATCTCTTTGGAGGCTGCATTACATCTTGGAAAGTTGCGAGTGGTAAAGATCTTCTTTTCGTCAGACCAGACGCTGTCTTCAATAAGATTAAGCCCATTAGGTGTGTTTGTACATTTTTACGTTGTTGCTCCCCTACCCTACTTATTAACCTGAAACTCTCTAGTAGTCATGTCCTCCCTTTTTCTTCTTTATGCTTTTTACTGGATTTAGCGGAGGGGTTCCACATTGTTTTCCACAGTTTGGACCTGGACTAATTCAACAGGTACTCATTTAAAGTTTTCATCCATTAATCCAAGCTGTTTGTTTTTCTTTTAAACTTATTAATGCTTACATGCTCTTGGAACCATTTTGGAATCATTAGCATGGGTTTGGAAGGAACATGGACTGGTCTGTTGTTGATTCCGAGAATGCAGATGACAGTGCCGCTGTTACTCTTGAGCTCAAGGATGGTCCCTATAGTCGAGCCATGTGGGACTTTGCTTTCCAGGCTCTATACAAGGTTTGTACAATGCCTTAATTTAGTGACACTCTTGTATGTTAGATGTCTTATTTTTTTGACAGTTTGTTTTGCTACTTTAGGTCACTGTTGGCGCCGACTCCCTTTCCACCGAGCTTAAGATAACAAACACAGACAATAAACCATTCTCTTTCACCACTGCCTTGCATACTTACTTCCGTGTAAGTGTACTATATTCGTCTTCTCGTGTTGAAGTGTGTTTCCCATTATCTGATACTACGGCTTGCGAATTGACTCCCTTTCTCCTTCTTATAATTGTTTTTGGATTCATCAGGCTTCTTCTGCCAAGGCATCCGTGAGAGGTCTAAAGGGTTGTAAAACTCTCAATAAGGATCCTGACCCTAAAAACCCAATAGAGGGTAAAGAAGACAGGTTGGTTTGGTGTTTGTTTTCCTTCATTAGTTACTGATCTTGTTGATTTTTAATTTCACATTTTCATGGTTCTAACTCCTTTTTTAACATTCCAGAGACGAAGTCACTTTTCCTGGATTTTTGGACTGCGTCTATCTTGATGCTCCTAATGAGTTGCAGTTTGATAATGGCTTGGGTGATAAAATAATCATCAAAAACACAAAGTATGTTTATTGAGACACTTAGGGGTTTTATAGAGGGACTATGTTATAACTTCCGTTACATAATGAGTCTTGTTTTCGGAAAATGCAGTTGGTCGGATGCGGTCTTGTGGAACCCGCATACTCAGATGGAGGCTTGTTACAGAGACTTTGTGTGCGTGGAAAATGCAAAGGTATATCAGTTTGCACCTTAGTCTTTGCGCACAACAATACTTGTAGAATCTAATGTTTCTAACTCTTGCTTATTATTTTTAATTCTCAGCTTGGGGATGTCAAGCTAGAGCCAGGACAGTCTTGGACCGCAACACAGCTTCTCAGCATTTGTTGAAAACACAATGTACTTTAAACTTCTGATATATTGTCGAGTGGATCCATTTTCTTAAGCAATAAAAGTTTTCATTCCTCTCCAAATTTCACCAGTAGTCACCACAACTGCATTTACCATTTCTGAAATGATGGAACCTTGTCCTATCTCTCATTACGATATCTCTCTTGTATATCTTAGAGATAAGTTTTGTTACTCTGTGACAATCTTTGCATACTCGGAGATTCTTCATTATACGTATAACGGTTCCCGGTTTAGTCTTGAGTAACCCGTATGTTATAGCCAATTTTTCGCTGTGCTGATGCACAATAGCTTCTCGCTCATCAACATCAACTAGATCAAGCAGCATATCCTCTAACTCTGGTACGTACCCGTGTTCCTCAAGTTTCCTTCTCACGATACTCCATTTCGATTGAATTTTCTTAATCTCTGGGTGTGATCGGTCTCCCGCTAAAAACTCGTGTGTGGTCCCTTCGAAGCTAATTGTACTACATCCTGGAACTTTCGCAACACCTTGTTCTTTCATCAATCTTCTTGTTTCAGCTGCTTTGTCCCACTGTTTGGCCAAAGCATGAATATTTGCTTTATGAACATATCTCCCACCATGAAATGGATCCATTGCAATTAAGATATCTCCAATTTCCTCTCCTAGTTCGATGTTTTTGTGCATCCGACAGGCTTTGAGCAACGCACCCCATATCACAGCATTTGGCTTCAAAGGCATGTCTTGAATGAAACATTTTGCTTCATCGAGAAATCCAGCTCGACCGAGTAAATCAACAATACAGCCATAATGCTCGATGGTTGGTTTAAGGTTGTAGTCTCTCTCCATGCTGTAGAAAATCAACTTTCCTTCTTCAACTAGTCCTGTGTAGCCGCAGGCCGTGAGAACCGCAGTGAAGGTAATCACATTTGGCTTTACTCCCATCTTTTGCATCTCCATGAATTTGCTAATTGCTTCTCTTCCATGGCCATGGTATGCATAGCCGGAAATCAAAGCTGTCCATGCTTGCACTGATTTTATCTTAATATTATTGAAAACTCCCAAAGCTTCTTCCATTTCGCCACACTTTGCATACATATCTATAAGAACACAACCCAAGACTGAATCAATTCTGATTCTTTCTTTATTAAGATAGGAATGAATCCACTTCCCTTGCTCGAGTGCCCCGAGCTGAGCACAAGCTGAGAGAGCATTAGCGAGGGAAACATTATCAGGCTCAACATCTGAATTCTGCATCTCATGAAATAATTGCAGAGCTTCGTTGTTCATGCCTGCTTCAACATACCCAGAGATCATCGTAGTCCATGATATAGCATTCTTTTCTGCCATTTTCTGGAATAACGTTAATGCAATATCCATTTTTCCAGCTTTTACGTAACCTTTGATCACAGAGTTCCACGAGACAGCATCGGGTTTGGACATCCTATCAAAGAGAAGGTGAGCTAGCTCGAAGTTACCGGTCACAGCATATGAATTGATAAGAGAATTCACTGCATAGACGTCGTTTTCATATCCAAGTTTTGTGATCTGTGCGTGAATTTGTGTTGTTTCTTGAAATGCAGATAGATTCGAACAAGCTTTGAGAAGAGACGGGAAAGTATACGCGTTATGAGGAGCTGAGCAACAGAGCATTCGATGATACAGGAGAAGAGACGTCTTAGGTTCGTCGGAGCACGAGAATCCTTTGATCATGAGGTTCCACAAGAAAGTATCAGGTCGATCAAAACCGTCAAACACAATTTGGGCATAAGGCAAAAAATCAGAAGAAGTCGAGGAAACACAGAAAGAAAGAAACTTTGTCACTGCGTAAGAATGCTGCATCAATCCAGTTTTCAGCATGCGAGCGTGGATTTGCTTAAGTTCATCTTGCTTTGAGCATCTCTGGAGACAAGACATTGTCTCGTAGAGATTATGTTCGAAAGAGAAGGAGGAGCATGAGATCATTGTCATTTTAGTTCATTAAAAAACACAGAGAGAGAGAGAGAGAGAGAGCTCTTGAGAGATAAGGTTCCTCTTTGCTTGATGATATGATAACTTCTCAATTCTCAGTAGAGGCCAAAGTATTTGTTTGCCGTTTTGTAAGAGACTTTAAAAGGATAAGTGACGTGGAGATATAGAGTCACCTGGTTGGTTTATGCTGTTTTTATTAGAAGTTACCCAAAAAATTACCTTAAATTACCAAAATCGTTAGCATTAGCAAATAGCAATAGCATGAACCGGAAAATAACGGTCGGACCGAAATCTGAGCCAAAACCAAAGATGGGGTGAGACGTCAAAGAGACAAAGACAACGACTGCACTCTCTCTTCTTCCTCTGGCTCCGGCGAAAAAACCCTTATTCGATTTCATTGATAAAATACCCAAATTCGATCTCTCGTGAGGGAAGGAGAAGAAGATGGGAACAATGGGTAAAGCATTTTACAGCGTAGGATTCTGGATCCGGGAAACTGGTCAAGCACTCGATCGGCTCGGTTGTCGCCTCCAAGGCAAAAATCACTTCCGAGAACAGCGTAAGTCTTTGGACCGTCTTCTCTTCTCTTCTCTTTGTTTCCATACGATTCGATTTCTCGTTTACTTCTCGTCGGGTCTTTGAAAATGTATTTGAGTATTTCTCTGGATTCGGGTCATAGTTTAGATTTGATAATAATATGACGCGTTTTCTCCTAATGTTGATCATTGATTATGGCATTCTTGATTAGAGACCTAAGAGCTTAATATCGCTAGTGATGCTATTCATGTTACCCATTTCTTTGTTTTATAGATTGGTAAGAGAGATTCTCGTCAATTTTCTCTTACAACTTCCTCTTACGTTCTCTGCATTTGGCTATTTGTTATCCTAGATGTGTTAAGTGTTAGCCTTTCCTATTGTGAGTGATACTTAAACTCAAATTTCTCCATACCATCCTACTAAACTGCTTCTGAAACTCTTTTTTTTTTTCCCAGTGTCGAGGCACCGGACACTCATGAATGTTTTTGACAAATCCCCTAGTGTGGATAAGGGTGCTTTTGTGGCTCCTAACGCTTCTATCACTGGTGATGTCCATGTGGGACGAGGTTCTTCCATTTGGTATGGATGTGTCTTGAGAGGTATAAGCTTCTGTAGCATCTGAAAATGTTGACTCATTTGTGCTTTCATTGAAAGGAGATGCACCCTTTTATGTCAGACATGTGCATAGAATTAAAAACTTACTCTGCAGGAGATGCTAACAGCATTAGTGTTGGAGCTGGCACCAATATCCAGGACAACGCTCTTGTCCACGTTGCTAAGTCCAACTTAAGCGGGAAGGTCTTACCTACTGTCATTGGAAACAATGTCACTGTTGGTAAATTCTCTATACAATCTCTGTCACAAAACTCAAGTGTGAATTTTATAGTCAGGGTAACATATAAAATTGAATTGGGGCAGGTCATAGTGCTGTTTTACATGGCTGCACTGTCGAGGACGAGGCCTATATTGGTACAAGTGCAACCGTGTTGGATGGAGCTCATGTTGAAAAACATGCCATGGTTGCTTCAGGAGCTCTTGTTAGGCAGAACACTAGAATTCCCTCTGGCGAGGTTCCTCGACACACTCCTTATGTTGACCTTCTCAAACTTTGTTGTATCCTTAAGCTCTAGTAATATTATAATTCTGGTGTATCTCATAGGTTTGGGGAGGCAACCCAGCTAAATTTCTCAGGAAGGTGACAGAAGAAGAACGAGTCTTCTTCTCCAGTTCAGCTGTGGAGTACTCCAACTTAGCTCAAGTTCACGCGACAGAGAACGCAAAGAACTTGGACGAGACTGAGTTCAAGACGCTTCTAAACAAGAAGAACGCTCGCGATACAGAATATGATTCAGTACTTGATGATCTCACACTCCCTGAGAATGTCCCAAAAGCAGCTTGAGGCGTTTAACCTGTGTCGTCTTGTGAATCTTGATTTGTGTGGATTTGAAAAAAACAAACAAGAACTTCAATTCTTGCATCTCCAATAAAGTTTTCTTGCGCTTAAAATCCAGTGGCCGGTGCTTATTGGGAAAGTTTTCCGCGCTGAGGCATTCATTTCTCTGTTAAAGATTCTGGGAGGGTTTTGTTCTCTTGAAACTTGAGGATAAAAAGTTGTAACCCTTTTTCTTCATTTTATGTCTAATAAATTTGTTGATCAGACAGAAATTTCTCGTATTTAGGTTGAACTGTTTGGTTTTATATGCTCTGTGCCCATAAAGATTAGCTCCTACGCCGTGCACTCTATAGTAGATTTCGTCTGCAGCTGCAACAGGTAAGCCAACGATTATCGCCGTACGTTCACATGTTTGCCCATTGTGGACGCATAATTCGTCTGGGTGACGTCACCGTAAAACACACGAATTTGCTATCGAGATGTGTGTTTGTTCGAAATTTTGTCGCCAATGCCCACCACCTGTTCGACGAATTGCCGCAACGAGACCTCTCCTCACTTAACTCTCAACTCTCGTCTTACCTCCGCAGCGGAAACCCAAACGGCGCAATGGCTCTTTTCCTTGAGATGCATCGAGCCAGCCCTGATCTCAGCTCCCACACCTTCACTCCTGTTCTCGGCGCGTGTGCTCTCTTGTCGTATCCGGAAACAGGACGCCAGGTTCACGCCTTGATGATTAAAGAAGGCGCTGAGACAGGAACCATTTCCAAAACGGCGCTTATTAACATGTACTCAAAGTACGGACACTTGGTTGATTCCATTACGGTATTCGAGAGCGTTGAGGAAAAAGATGTCGTCTCATGGAATGCTCTGCTTTCGGGTTTCCTTAGAAACGGTAAAGGTCAAGAAGCTCTTGGCGTTTTCGCTGCTATGTATAGAGAAAGAGTAGAAATCAGTGAGTTCACTTTATCTTCCGTTGTTAAAACTTGTGCCTCTCTTAAGATTTTGCAGCAAGGGAAGCAAGTTCATTCCATGGTGCTGGTCACGGGACGTGATCTTGTGGTTTTAGGAACTGCAATGATTAATTTTTACTCGAGTGTAGGGCTGATAAGTGAAGCCATGAAGGTTTATCTCAGTTTGAATGTTCATACGGACGAGGTGATGTTAAATTCATTGATATCAGGTTGCATTCGAAACAGAGATTACAAGGAAGCGTTTCTGCTTATGAGTAGGCAGAGACCCAACGTGAGAGTGCTCATTAGCTCCCTTGCTGGTTGCTCTGATAACGCTGATCTGTGGATTGGTAAACAGATACACTGTGTCGCCTTACGTAATGGTTTCGTTTCAGATTCTAAGCTATGCAATGGCTTAATGGATATGTATGGAAAATGCGGTCAGATTGTGCAAGCCCATACTATTTTCAGATCTATTTCGTATAAAAGTGTGGTTTCTTGGACGAGTATGATAGATGCGTATGCAGTTAATGGTGATGGGGTTAAGGCTCTTGAAATCTTTAGGGAAATGTGTGAAGAAGGAAGCGGAGTTTTGCCTAATTCAGTGACATTTCTGGTTGTTTTATCGGCTTGTGCACATGCAGGACTAGTTGAAGAAGGTAAGGAATGTTTTGGTATGATGAAGGAGAAATATCGGTTGGTTCCTGGAACAGAGCATTACGTATGCTTTATTGATATCTTGAGCAAGGCTGGGGACACAGAGGAGATATGGAGATTAGTCGAGAGAATGATGGAGAACAATAATCGTAACATTCCTTGTGCTGTATGGGTTGCAGTACTTAGTGCCTGTAGTCTAAATATGGATGCCACGCGAGGGGAATATGTAGCAAGCAGGCTTATGGAAGATTCGGGTCCAGAGAACGCGAGCATCTACGTGTTGGTTTCAAATTTCTATGCGGCGATTGGGAAGTGGGATGTGGTTGAAGAATTGAGAGGAAAAATGAAGAATAAAGGTTTGGTTAAAGCAGCTGGACACAGCTTATTCATATGAACTAATAATTCTGTCTCTGCATCAGTTGTCATCTCAAACACATTATACTAGACTTAAGCTACTCATTTTGTGACAAGAAACTGACGAATTCCACTAAAGATTAAAAGGATTGCAGTGGAAAGTGCCTTGTTGTTCTAAGTCAAACACGGGGAAGACATAGTCAACATAAAGTAGCATTGACCGGGAAATAGTATTAGGTGAAAGGGCAATTTCACATATGGTATAAGATATGGAGTCGTTGGGATAAAAGGACAATAGAGAGAAGTCAAAAGATGTGTCCTTTTCAAAACTGCCCAACACAAAACCCTTTCTTAAAAGCACATCACGACGGAGACTAGATGAAAACCACAAGACATGATGATTAGGGCCCTAAGCAGGAGGAAGGGTAGAGGCAGCTACAAGAAGCTCGGGGATGAGGAAGAAGAAGCAGGCGCAGGGCTTTTAGAAGTAAAACAGCAGAAGGCTGCAGTGGATCATCATGGGCAATCCGTGGAGAAAAGCGGGGGTTCGGCTCACCCTCTATTGAGTTTTTTCGATATGAGTCTAAAGAGAAAGAAGAAGACAAAGAAGAAAAGCACGACGACTGCAAAACCAGAATTTGCTAGGTACATGGAGTATGTCAAGGAAGGAGGCGTTTGGGATAACACTTCAAATGAACCTGTCATCTATTACAGGTAGATGAAATATGATCATATATATATATATGGGAGAAAAGAGTTTCCACAGAGGTTGTTTTGCAGATATTTGTTTTCGGCTTGTGATATATATAACTTGTATTTGAATAAGAAACGATGGATACATACATCAAACAAAGCTGGAAAGCTCGTCTATAATATAAGCCAGGATTTTGCCATTTAATTTCTTTTGTGTGGACCAATCCATGTTTTTTAATTTTACAGTTCAATAAAGATTAATTCTCGGCTTATCTAGGTAATTTTGTTTTTTAAAATAGTAATTACTGTAATCAGAATGGGTTTACAAATTAACGAATACATTAGGCCCATGAATCTATCTCTCTCTACAAGACAACAAAAGCCTAGACCAAATTTGTTTTACGCGAGGAGATGACACGTCACTGAACAAACAAAATTGAAAATCCCATCAAAACGCAGCGCGATAAGCACGGTCGTTGCGATAGAAGCCTTGGTGAAGAGGTTTTTTATTTTAAGTGTTAGTTTGTTGCGATGAAAAGCCTTGGAGAAGAGGTTTCTCCTTGCTTGATTTCTCTGTATATATCTAATCTCTTTTTGCTCTTTCTTCGAAACAATGTCATATCAACAACGTCTGCCTTCTCTTCTTCCTCCGTCTGAGTGGATCCTTGAGCTGCTTCTTCTTCTTCTTTTGTGTGTTCCATCGCTAGGTAAACCTTTTACCTCCCCGTTGGGCTGTTTTGTTAGCTTCTAAATGTTCGATTTGATAAAATTAGGTTTTGGTTTTTGTTATTTTCACGTACTTGGTGAGTATCACTGTCGGATTCAGTTTTGGCTTACTTTGATAAGCTTAGGTATTGAATGGGATTTGGTTTGATAATCTCGCACTCCATGGTTTGCTCTTTCCCAAAAATCGAATTCAGCTTGTTAGCTTGTTTCTATAGTTTCTGAACTGCTCGATATTGAAGTGTATTTCTAATTGGAATCTCTTAAATTATGCAGAACCATGCCCACGTTTTCTGCTGCCACTTTGGATAGATCACTGAAGTCAGAAGAAATCCCAAGCATATTGCACTCGAAGCCACCTATTTCAAATCCAGAGAACGATCTTAAAGAAAAGACATTCACTCGGCCTCAGATGTCACCTTCTCTCTATGCCACTCCTAAAGAAATCCCTCGTCCCAATTCGCCATCTTCCTACCCTCCATCTCCCTATATTATCAATCACAAAGCGCGCCGACCACTTCTTTCCAGAAGGGACTCTGAGGTGGATGGGACTTCTCACTCGAAAACCCTTGCTGAGGAAAAGATTGTAGAGGAGAATACCACCTCTTTGAGGAAGGCCACATCCCTATCTTTTCCTATCAGCAATGCTACAGCAGTGGATCACACCCAAGGCATCCCTGAACGTCCCGTTTGGGATTGCAGCCCCCCTCATGAGAAATTTTGGAGCGATAAGTCGGGAAGAGATATCAGCAACGGTGAGAGTGGAAGCAATAATGCTTCCAATACTTTAGAATGGAAAAGTTATTTGTTGGAGCCGGTAAGAACAAAAGCAGACAAGGAGCTTGAGTCTGAAAATTTCTATAACCATGGTGAATTAATAAACTTCACAAGTAACACAGAGGTAGAAGATGTTGGAGGAGCTGAAAGCTCACACAAACTCGCTGCACATGTTGGAGAGTTTTATGATGCTTGTGATGGTATCTTTTCTTCCTACTAACTGTCGACATGGCTGAAAATTCTTATGATGTTTGACATTTCTAGCATACATCACTTTTTGCCACTTCTTGGAGCTCTTCTCCTTTAGTTTCAAGTGTTCTAGGTATATATCAGTAGTGTGATATTTTGTTGTGAAGTAGCCTTTTATGCTTGGGAATCCTCTGTTTAATAGTCAACTTGATAGTGATGAATCAGATTTCCAAATTCGTAGGAAAACTGCATGCATTATTCATTGGTATATATAAGAAACTGGTTTTAATTTATTCAGTATCTGTTCATGGCTTCCAGAACTTTCAACCGACAGTGGAATGCTGAGTTCAGATAACAACATTAGAACTGAGCTGAGGGAGATGAGGTTGGGCTTGCTAACAGAAATCGAAAGGAGGAGGCAAGCAGAGGAAACTCTAGAGCAAATGCAGGTTCATTGGCAGAGGCTCCGTGAGCAGTTGGCCCATGTGGGTCTGTTCCTTCCCCTTGATCCTACCAGCAGCACATACAGCATGAACCTAGCAGATGAGCTACATTGTCAACTCGAGGTCACCAGGTTTGTCTCTGACTCACTAGGCAGTGACTTGGCCAAGGCAGAGGTTGAGATGGAGATGGAAGCTGAGCTCGAAGCTAAGAACTTTGAAATTACCCGGTTGTCTGACCGTCTTCACTATTACGAGACCGTGAACCAGGAAATGTCCCAGCGCAACCAAGAGGCTATAGGTAGAAGAAACTCAAGTTGTATTTACTAGAATGTCTTGTCTTTTTCTTTATCTGAATGCTTCAAGTCTCTTTGATATCAGAGGTGGCAAGGCGAGAAGGGGAAAAGAGAAAGAGGAGGCAGAGGTGGATTTGGGGATCGATTGCTGCAACCATCACACTCGGGAGTGGAGTCTTGGCTTGGTCGTACCTTCCTCCCGGAATGTTATCATTGGATGAAGCTCAACCCGAGCAGTCTCCAACAGATTCATGACAAGGGTGAAGCAAAGCTTCAGGCCTTGTGTATAAAAATATGAAAATGTTTTGGTTTTTAGCTTTTTAGAGAATGTATAGAACATGATGAGGACATAACTCAGCTTCTTACAATCGATCACGGTCATACTAATTTGGTTTTGCTCGTGTTTTTTAATGGACTTGCAAAGTTGCAATATTAACCTGATTCTTAAATTCAACGAGGGGGTAACTGAACAAAAAAACATTATGGCGGTTGAAGCTGGGAGTTATATAGAAAGAAGGGGTGCAAGTGGAAATAAAGAAAACTCGTTAAACGGCGTCGTATGAAGATCACATATGGTTTCCTTGGCTAATCACAAAACAAGCAGTGAGGAAAAAAACCAGTGAGAGAGAGAGAGAGAGCTATCAATTTGAAAAACAAAGTCCGACAATGGCGGCCTCTCCGCAAATTTCGCCTACTGTTTCCCGCTACAAATTCTTCTCCACTTCCGTTGTTGAAAACCCTAATTTCTCCCCTTACCATATCTATAGTCGACGCAGAGTTACCAAATCGCATCTTCAGGCGCACAACAGTAGCACTAGATATGGGCGGACGGAACTCACCTCCTCGAAGAAGCTATGGATCAAGCAACGAAGCTCCAGCGGAATGGAGGTTGAGCAAGCAGAATTAGAAGAAGATGAAGAACAAGTGGAGATCGATATAGTCGACGATGCCAGTCTCCTCTCGCTGAGCATGAAACCGGACAGGAACATGGCGTTGCTCGACGATTATGAGATGGAGGAGCTTGGACACTCACCTGATACGCATCATCGCAGTGGTTTGTTTGTTTTCTCCCTAACCCTACTACTATCCTCACTTTGTTACTGGGAAATTGAATTATGGTGATTACAATGTTTATATATATATATATATATATATATATAGGATACGTGGCTGTGCTGGGGATGCCCAACGTTGGGAAAAGCACGCTTTCGAACCAAATGATTGGTCAGAAAATTTCGATTGTCACAGATAAACCTCAAACCACGAGGCATCGGATTCTTGGTATATGTTCTAGCCCTGAGTATCAGGTTTGTTTAGCTAATCCCCCATTGAAAAACGTTGTTTGCTAAATGCCTTGGTTTGATTTAGAATTTAAGATACAAAGCTTGTGTTTACAGATGATACTTTATGACACGCCTGGTGTAATCGAGAAGAAGATGCACAGGTTAGATACAATGATGATGAAGAATGTCAGAGATGCTGCCATCAATGCGGATTGTGTAGTAATTCTTGTTGATGCTTGTAAAACGCCTGCTAAAGTATGCTTCTCTGTTTTGGTTTCTTTCTCCTCAAAATTGTTAGTTTTAAGTAGTTTTCCTGTCCTAATTCTGGTGCCGTGTGCTAGATAGAAGAAGTTTTGAAAGAGGGTTTGGGAGACCTCGAAAAGAAGCCACCGATGCTGCTTGTTATGAACAAGAAGGATCTGATCAAACCTGGTGAGATAGCCAAGAAACTTGAGGTGAGTTTGTTGTTGTAGCTATCCTTCAACTTTGCTAGTGCTGCCCTGTTATTATAATCCCGCCATTCTAGAATGAACTTGCAGTGGTGGGAGATGCTTCACTATACACTTGAGATCAAGATTTGGAGTCATGGTATTGGTATGTTCTTTGCTTAATAGATGCTACAACTCCTTGCAGTGGTATGAAAAATTTACAGAAGTTGATGAAGTTATACCTGTAAGCGCAAAGTACGGACATGGAATAGAGGATGTAAAAGAGTGGATATTATCCAAACTTCCCTTCGGGCCACCTTATTATCCAAAGGTATATGAAAAAAGTATCTGCTTCACTGTTATAACTCCTCTCCCTGCTATAGCTGAGCTTATAGTCTAATTTGCGTTATGTTCTGAGGTTTATGTCTTAATTCACATGCAACAATTCATTTCACTAATGTCTTACGGGTATGTGGTTATCTAGGATATTGTGAGCGAGCACCCAGAGAGATTCTTTGTTTCTGAGATTGTTAGAGAGAAGATATTTATGCAGTACCGAAATGAAGTTCCTTATGCATGTCAGGTAAATGATAAGTTTGGTATTTTTAGTCCTGTAAAAAGCTGTGGCCTTATTAATCAATTATATGTTGTAATATTTTTGCTTCAACGCGACAGGTGAATGTGCTGAGCTACAAAACTAGACCAGCTGCAAAAGACTTTATTCAAGTGGAAGTGGTAGTGGATAAAAATTCTCAAAAGATCATCCTTATAGGAAAAGTAAGTGTATACAAACCCTTTAACATTCAAGTGGGTAATTTCTGATTTGCATTCGTGGTAAAAAATTTGTGGACACTCAAAAAGTGCATTGTCAATGATCGATGAAACTGACAGATATGGGTTTAAAAGCTGATATCATATGCTTAGAGATTGTATTAAAGCAATAAGGTCTCAACTTAAGTAAGCTTAGTGCTGGCTAATGTGGGTGGATGGATTTTAATGTAATGTTTGTAGGAAGGGAAGGCTTTGAAAACGCTAGCAACGGCTGCTAGGCTCGACATTGAAGATTTCCTTCAGAAGAAAGTCTTCCTCGAGGTGCTTATAAATTTGCATAACGTATCAAATGGTAGTTGAAATACAGTAAGTTACCAATTTGAGTGAATGATAGAAAATGTTGGATGAAGGTGGAAGTGAAAGTGAAAGAGAACTGGAGACAAGACGAGGGACTTCTCAAGTACTACGGCTATGGAGGACAGATCCGAGCTATGTAGTAGGATGGACATAGTGACAGTGTAGTGGTTAATGGGCTTCAAATGGGCCTAGAAGAAGATGAGAAGTGCAAATGACAGGGCGGCTCTTAGGTTAGCTTTAGCTTTTCCCCTCTTTTTTTTGTTTGTATTTAACCGAAACCACTCCTCAGTCTAGCTTTTGTTTTTAATCTCAATACAAACAATTCATTAGGAAATTTGAAATCTTTCTTCTTTGTTTTGTGATTTCTTCTTTTGTTTGAGTTTGTTGAACTAACCCATTGAATAATCTGATTTTCATGATCACAGGTAGGTAGTAGACTGATAGTTAAACAATTACATATAGATGTGCTTTTCATGAAAAGATGAACCGTAATTAATGGCGAGTGAATTGGTGTGTTTGGTAAGGATCTGAGTCTGAGTCGGTGTAACTTGTTAGAGATCCGCTTATTGCGCCTATGCTTCTTCTGTTGAAAAAAGGTGTCTGTCTTAAGATGGTGTTTGAAAGCGAGTCAAAAGATGAGAGAAATGCCCACTAAAAAGAAAAGAAAAGAAAACCAATTTCCTGATTACACACAATAAATGTATGTCGTGTGTTTTGTCGTCAACTCAAACCGAAAAATCTAAAGAGCAACGGCACATGAGAGTTTCTTTTATTTATTTATATTAGATGATGAAATTGAGAGGCCGACCCATAAAAGTTAAATATAAAAAAAATACAATAAAGGGAAAGGGCCATGTATGTATGTATGTAACCCATGAAGCGGAAGACGCGTGGGTTGCTGTGAAAGTAACCACACGGAATGCTGACACGTGTACCATGATCCGAGGGTGAAGCATTATGATTACGTGTTAAGTGGGATCCATTTGCTGGTTTCACGGTTACGACTTATACGGTAATAATGGGACCTTTATTTATTAAAAAAAATTACCGGAATCACCTTCTCTGCTTCGTTTCCTTTTTTCAAAAAGTGTTGTTACAGTAACTGACATCACAGCTGATTACAAATACAGGGTATGCGTGTTGTATTAACACTGTATCTTAAAAAAGTGAGATTTATTATGCTTTTCCCCAAACCGTTATACAATTATTATTATTAGTTCATAAATACCCCCTCCTCTCAAACACTAAAGCGAGAAGAGTGTGTAAGAGAAAGAGCAAAGAAGAAGATGAAGCTTCTGGGTCTGATTACATTTTTAGCGATCTTGATCCAACAAAGCTGTTTGGAGCTAGGAGCGGATGCCTTATCGAGTGATGGGTTCGTGAGGGCTAAAGGTGTTCAGTTTACTCTCAATGGCTATCCTTACTACGCTAATGGCTTCAATGCCTACTGGCTCATGTACGTTTCCTCCGATCCATCCCAAAGGTCTAAGCTCCCCGCCGCTTTCCAAGATGCCTCCCGCCATGGCTTGACCGTTGCTCGAACCTGGGCTTTCAGCGATGGCGGTTACAGGGCTCTTCAGTCTTCCCCTGGCTCCTACAACGAGGATATGTTTCAGGTAACCTCCCTTTGTCTCTACTTGTGTCTTGTGTCTTGTGTTTCAGTTTCTCTTTGTTTACGATTTTATTTGTATGGATCTTTTGGAAAAGTTTTGAGAACCTCTGTTTTAATATCTGACTGTTTAAACAACACTCACTCACACAAAACTTGTATTTGGAAAAGTCGGTGGCTTTTGGAGCCAAGTTTTCAGACTCTCTGTTGATGTTTCTTTTGTCATTTATGGTGAAAAGGGTTTGGATTTTGCGATAGCTGAGGCAAGAAGGCATGGAATAAAGTTAATACTCAGCTTTGCCAATAACTATGACATCTTCGGAGGGAAGAAGCAATATGTGGATTGGGCTCGAAGCCGAGGCCGTCCCGTTTCTTCTGAAGACGACTTCTTCACTGACTCTCTTGTTAAAGATTTCTACAAGAACCATATCAAGGTTTCAAATTCATTTAATCTTCTCCCCCGCTTTTAGATTCAACCAAAAAGCAAGAAAAGTAATGACTTTTATTTTGCCCTGCAGGCTGTGCTGAACAGATTCAATACCTTTACCAAAGTTCATTACAAAGATGACCCAACCATTATGGCTTGGGAGCTCATGAATGAGCCCCGTTGCCCATCAGATCCTACAGGAAGAACCATTCAGGTTTTCACCTAACACACATTTTCACACCATGACTCTATTTCTTGTCTATTTCTATACTAATTTGGGATCTGACTTGTTGGTTTCTTTCAACTATACCAGGCTTGGATTACTGAAATGGCTGCTCATGTGAAATCACTAGACAGTAACCATCTGCTTGAAGCTGGCCTAGAAGGTTTCTATGGTCAGTCGTCACCTCAACGCAAGACTCTGAACCCACCCGGCCAATTTGGAACTGATTTCATCGCCAATAACCGCATCCCGGGAATTGATTTCGTTACGGTTCACTCCTACCCTGACGAATGGTAATGCCATACAACTTTAGTTTTGGCCCTAGCAGTTAAAAAAAACAGTGATCCATCACTTGGTTTAATTGCTGTTTTGTTTTCTTGTGCAGGTTCACAGACTCAAGCGAGCAATCCCAAATGGATTTCTTGAACAAATGGCTCGACGCGCACATCGAAGACGCACAGACCGTTGTACGCAAACCCATAATATTAGCAGAGTTTGGTAAATCAATGAAGAAATCAGGCTATACCCCTGCACAGAGGGACTTTGTCTTTAACACCGTGTACAACAAGATTTACGGGTCTGCAAAACGAGGCGGTGCAGCAGCAGGTGGATTGTTCTGGCAACTCTTGGGAAATGGAATGGATAATTTTCAAGATGGCTATGGGATCATACTTAGCCAAAGCTCGTCCACGGTTAACGTCATTTCTCAGCAATCCCGGAAGTTGACATTGATTCGAAAAATCTTTGCAAGGATGATCAACGTGAGGAAATGGAAGAGGGCGAGAGGCCAGGGACAAGTGAGAAAACGAGGTCACAACAACATCAACAGCTGAAACTTTAACTAATTTCTACTTTTTTAATTACTTAGCTCTCTTATAGCGAATCGAACGATCTCAGCTCGTCGAGGAAAGTAATAGTGATAGATGTCATAATATATATAGGTTCTCGCCGGAATGAACTTCATTTTCATTAAAGAAAATTATTAGTGTGGCAGTTTTTTTTATAGCAGAAAAGTTTTTTTAGATTGAATGCTTTAGTTATCAAGACATCGAATTCACCGTAAAAGCAAAACATCAGTCCATTCAATTTGAAATAGATAATATGACAGATCTGAAGCTCTTGAAAGATGTATGATAATAAGATTTCGAGATTCGAGAGCCACACAGAGTTCTCCACGAAACCATCTGGAAGAGACCATAGCGACGACATATGCTTCGATCATACCTAAACTAGGTTGGGTGAGAGAGACGATTATGTCTGCGTTTACTTTTGGGCTTACTTACTAGGCCCAGTTTGTAACATAATAGTCTAGATGATTTCGTAAAATACTTGCAGATACCTCTTTTCTAAACGTCTGCGTTTAGTAATGGGCTTACTTACTCGGCCCACTTTGAAATATATTGACCTAGTTAGAATTTAGAATTTATTACTTGCATATAAAGGCATATCCGGGTAATTCAGATAAATTTGATTTTTAACTGTGAGGCATGGCAGCGCAGTCCAACGGTTTTGTACAGCTGCTTCGATTACACTGCTTGCTAAATTCGATAGACAACATCTCAGCCTCGACATCTCATTCTCATCAATGCGGGAATTTGCGTGCTGCTCGCCACCTGTTTGATCAAATGCCACACAGAGATATGAGATATTGTTCCATGGACAGCCATCTTCAACGGATACGTAACTGCAACCAACTCTGTCGAAGCACTACTATTTTTCTCAGCGATGCTTGTTGATTCTGGCGTCTTCACCCGACTCTGTAACATTCATCTGTGTTCTCACCGCTGCATCCATTCGGGACAGCTTAACCTGGGTTGATCTGCTGTGTAGAGCAGCCAAGGAACCCTATGGATGTATGGTTGATCTGCTGTGTAGAGCAGGACGTCTTAGTGATGCAGAGAAGATGACCAATGAAATGCCATAGAAGGAGGATGATGTTGTATGGACCACACTTCTCAGGTGCGTGTAAGACCATGAATCGGGATTCAACGTTTGTATCTGGTAGCCAGTCCCATTCTCAAAATGAAGATATATACAGTATAGTGGAATTGGTAGTATTTGGTGCAGAAGCTCATCGATTTGATTGTCCAATATATGGAGCTTTTGGCTTTTATCCATGCTCGTGATATTTTTAACTCTAATATGTTCAAACTTCAAAAAATCTTAGCCATGAATATAATAGCACAAATGGTAACACTGAATATATAGCTCAATCAATATGAATTATAAGGAGAATAATATGCATTCCTTATACCATTCACATACTAAGTAGTGATAAATATCAGTCTGTCATCTGTCATCTTTAAACCAGTTAAGTAGCACATATACTGCAAAACCTAAAGCAGACGCAGCAGCAACCAGAGAGACAGCTACTTGTACTGAGAATGATGAGGTAAAGGCTTCAAGAACAAGTGAATTCCAGGTTACATACCATAAGGTGGAGTAAACAGAACCCACGATTGCACCTACGACAACTTGACTTGTTGTGTGAAGCTTCTGAGAAACCCTTAACCATGTCTACAAAAAATAACATCAGTGTTAATGATTTCATTTATATGATTCGAGGGTAATTTTGAACTTGATCCATGTTATGAAGACTTACAAAGTAAGAAGCCAAAGCGAGGACGAGGCCACTAAGGAACAGAGACAATTCATTGGTTCCAAGCCACTCCATAACTGCGGAAATAAGAGTAAAGTCATCTTAAGAGTTGATCAAATGCAAGAAGAAACAGATATTGAAAACGCTTAGCATTGTGACTGTTTTACCAGACAAGACAGTAAACACAGAGATGAAAGAAATGGATTGGGCATGAGAAGATGGCATCCCAGGATCAGAACGCAGTGTAGCAACGGGTCTCTCTTGGTTAAGTATACGTTTCAAAGCTACGGAAAGGGCAGAGTTTGAAACCGATCCAATCACAGCCCAAAGTGCTGCACCATCATGCCGTAGAAGCAGAACAGATCCAAATAGAGCAGCTACAATCCATTTGCTCTGCCATTTTACAAACGTTTAAACCGGAAGCTTTCGTTAGTTACCAAAATGCAGGGAAGAGAAAAGGAACAAGCTTTACTTTTGTTTTTCGACTTTTTTCATTGAGATGGCATTACATCAAACAGGTTGTGTGCATCAGGGAATTCGAATACAGACCAAACGATTAGCGACGGCTTCAATCCCACCGCCGGCGTCGTTATGAAGCTCCGAAGAAGTATTGATGAAAGCCTCTTGCTCGATCGCACGAAATGGCTCTTCGCCGTCTCTGCGAGCATTGGTTTTGACTAAATCGGCCATAGAATTAGAGCCAGGGACAGACCTAATCGTTCGTCTTCGAGTCAAAGGGAAGATTCGAAATGGAGCAGGAACAGAGGAAGCACCGAAATAGAAATTGCAGGTGGGTTTGTGGAGAAGAAGAAGGGATGAAGCTGCCATATCCAAAGAAAAAGTCAACCTAAAGGTCAACACAAAAAAACGAGTCGCTTAAATTTATTGAGGATCAAATCGTAAAGACGAACAAGGAACAGAGTAGTACTATTTCTTGATTTTGTGTGACGAACGAACTCGCAAAATCTGTTGACTGTCGAAGAAGATAGGACAAGTTGTGTGGTTTTTATGTGTTGATTTTTTTATAGCAGCTTATTATACACACATAATCTACATATGCATATTTAATTTCATTGTCTGCACTACTACAAAATTCAGAATTCGTATGTATGGTTGAGAAAAATTACACGATGAAGAAGATGAAGAGTTTGCTCTTTCTTTATTCTGCTGCTCGATCCAATCATCATAGGGTCTCAAATTGTGATTGTTTGCTACTTTGCTATATAATAAATCTTGTGTGATCTTCTCGTTAAATTAGCCCATGAGAGCCCATTAGTAGTAATAGTCCTTAAATTATTAACGCGCGTTATTGGCTGAAAATAGGCCCATTAATGGAAACCAGTCAACAAAACTCGGTTTGGGTTACCATCACATTAGGAAGGAATTTGTGCTTTTAAACAAGACTTCTTAAAACCCAATAGATAGCTAATAAGGAGAAAAGAATCTCTAATAAGTTAAAGATTATAATGAAAAAAAAAAAGGAGGAAATTTTGTTATAGAAAGGGAAAAAGAAAACAAGTTGAAGTGGTGTAGTTGAAACGCGAATAATGAAGGAAATAATGCATCAACGGTGGGAAAGCCGTGTACACGTTTGTTTATTCTAAAGAATATTAACAATGTCTCATCGTTTTAGAACATTGTTGCTTATTTTGGAATTTTCTAGACATGCCATGAATAAAATTAGTTTCGTGTAGCATGTTTATATTATAAGTTCATGTGTGTGTATGTATATTGGGGGTCGAATATGCTTTATAAACTTTGCCTTAAGAGAAAAAAATAAAAATAAAAGGATCGAACAAAAAAGATGACCAATTAAATTAATATACGTATACTTTGAAATAGATTCTTGGTTATCTTTTTAAGTTTTTTATACATTCAGGCTGATGTGTAAATATATTCTCGCACATAAGAGTTTTTTTCCTATTGCACTACGTACTAACTTATACTTCCTTTTATAAATTAAAAAAAAAAAGAATCAGAAAATAATATAAATTACTTTGGATTATTAATAGCTTTTGGGTTGTGGATTAATTAGCCACAAAAGCAACGAATATCGTCCAGGACAAAACAATATCCATATGGTCTCAATTGGTTTACAGTAGAAAGGATGTTTAAAAGCACCACTTCAATTAATTCGTTTGTTTTTGACTTTGAGAGGTTTCTTTCTTTTATATCCGTCAAACACTTATAGACGTTCTTTTTTCTTTTTCTTTTTTTTTTTTTTACTTTTGAAAGTTTTCTTTGAAACTAATATTGTCGTCAAAAACCATATTTACACCATCAATACATATTTAATAATGAATGTTTTTAGCTACACATGTAATTAGGTTATGATATATAATATTCAAACCGAAGTCCCAGTGAAGTTATAAGACTGGAACTGGAGTGTGGGTTTTATCACACGCCAGAGCGTCTTGTCATTGGAGGTGAAAACTGAGTGTTGTTTATATAATTTAAATACATATGTAAATATATAAAAATTCGAAGATAAAAAAGATGTGACGATACGTCTATCGCTCTGTCAAACTCTCTCAATCTTCAAAGTACAGTTTCGAAACACAGGTCTTTGTGTGACAGAAATCGAGGAGATGACTTGAGAGAGATAGCCAAATAAGTAGCGATACAAATATTCAAGTTTGAAATTAGTGCAAGAAATACGGTGTCGTGTGGCACCAGATAGTCCTGAAATTCATGATGATTGTTTGTTTATATATATATCACACTGACAGCAAATAGCTTTTACAGTGGTCAAAGTTTTTTTGTTTTTTTTTTGGGTCATGACCCCAACAAGGAAACAATCTTCATCCCTACGACCTACTCGTCGTCTCCTCCTATGATATATATATGTTACAACACCTTTTTTTTTTTTACCAATTCTTATATTCATGATGAATACCAACAGATATATGCCCTAGTCACAATACTTTTAAAACTAATACAAATCTACGCGTGCAAGTGTACCTCTGTGGATATAAGAATGATGCTTGAGAATGGTATTACATGCGCATAATTTAAAAGAGAACTAATTAAAAGAAGCCGTGGGTGATCTTATCATGGATAAACCAGCCTGTATTATCCATTAACTTATAATAATTCTTCAGTTAACTTACTGCTACTAAAATACTTGTGTACGTTCTTTAGTCGCAAAGGACATGAATGAGCGAGAGTCAACGAGTAGTCAGTTTCACTATTGTCAATAAATTCAACAATCATAAGAGATTTATTTAATCATAAAAAGGAAATCTTAAAATCTATTTACGTTATTATATATAAAAAAAAACTATTTACGTTATTATATAATAAGACTAGCTCCAGTTTTTTTTTGTCAATTTGTCAATTAAGTTTCATAGTTGTAACTTGTAACGTCGTGTTGAACTTTCTTCTTCAGGTCAAAAGTCCGATCTCCACACAGTCACCGACCTATGTTACTCTTCCTCATCCAACACATTTTTATAATTAAGAAGTTCGTATCTGTTTAGAAATTAACCGCTCATATATATATATATATATATATATATGCTCAGAGTTGTTAGTAAAGGTTACTTATTATAGGAAGT